CCTCTTCCGTGTGCAGACAAGTGAGGACTGGGAGGAGCGAGGTCAGCAGGAGGGCGTTTGGGGTGGAATGGGCAACATGGGCAGTGGAGGAGGAACGAACTGGGTTGGGGAAGGGCAGAGTGAGCAAGAGGACCGTACCTTCGTGGGTTAGTAGACTCTAGACGGTATCATTTGTAATTATCTGTTGAGATACTAGCTGTGGTGTATTTTCTTTGGTTCTTTGTCAAATTTTTAGTGAGTATATTTGCTAAGAACTAGGAAGATTTTTTTCCTTTAGAGTTTCAGAATTTGTGTTTTTAAAAATGTATTTTAGACTTCCGCCAAGATGGAGGTTTAGCTGGATGTGCCTGCCTCCTCACACAACCAAGTTTAGGGACAACTAAATATTAGCATCAGAAAACACAACCAGAACACGGAAAACTGAACTTTTCGGAAGTCCGCTAACAACAAATTCTTCAGCCCGACCGGTAAAAGGCAAAACCGGCGTCCGGTGAGGACTTACAAAGGAGGGCTCGGTCGGACCGGGCGCGGAATCCCGACCGCGCGAATCCAGTCGCGCGGGTTCCAAACCCAGGATTGGACCTAGTGAGCCACCGAGCAGCCCACCGGGGGAGCGACTACAGAGGACACAGTGGGGAGGCGGTGGCAGCGAGTTGACTGTGGTTGCCTGGGTGCGCGCAAGTGAGGGAGTGAGCGGTTGGACCGCCCGGTGGCGCGCCATTTCCCGCTCTGACCACGCCCCCACATACAGCGTCACAACCCAGCGACCTGGGACTCCAAGGCGCCGCTTGTCCCACTTTAAAGGGCCAGAACAGACCAAAAATGTCGCAGGCAGAACTCAAAGCCCCAGAGATAAATCTAAATGACGAAGAAATGGCAAAAACTCTCAGACGCACAGTTTAAAACACTGGTCATCACCTTCCTCACAGATCTGGTGGATCTACAGCCACAAATTAGAGAAACATATGGAGGCTAAATTAAGGGAAATGAATGGAATTCCACAGGAATCCCATAGAGATGAAAAGGAAACTGGGACTCAAATCAATGCAGTGGACCAGAAGAAAGCAAATAATGGACAAACAGAAAGAGTTAAAGGAGCAAGAATTCAAAGAAATGAGGAGAGTCTTAGGAACCTCCAGGACATCTTTAAACGCTCCAATATCCGAATTATAGGGGTACCAGAAGGGGGAAAGACACAACCACCAGTGGAAAAACTATTTGAACAAATAATAAAAGAAATTTCCCCAATCTGGCAAAGGAAATAGACTTCCAAGAAATCCAACAAGCCCAGAGAGAATACAAAAAGTTGGACTCAAGAAGAAACACACCAAGGCATATCATAATTACATTAGCCAAAATTAAAATGAAGGAAAGAATCCTGGAAGCAGCAAGAGCTAAGGGGACAATCACCTACAAAGGAGTCCCCATCAGGCTGTCAGCAGATTTCTCTAAAAGAGACCTTACAGGCAAGAAGGGGCTGGAAAGAAAATTCCAAGTCATGAAATCTAAAGACCTACAACCAAGATTGCTCTACCCAGCAAAACTTTCATTTAAAATGGAAGGACAGATAAGGTGCTTCTCAGATAAGACCAAATTCAAGGAGTTCATCATCACCAAGCCCTTATTATATGAAATGTTAAAGGGACTTATCTAAGAAAAAGAAGTTAAAGAAACATGAACAGTGAAAGGACAACAAACTCACAGTTATTAACAACCACACCTAAAACGAAAGCAAACTAAAGACAGCTAGAACAGAGTGGAAACATAGAAATGAAGATCTCAAGGAGGGTTAGCAACAGGGGGGTGGGAGGAGGAGATGGGGGGAGAAGGTACAGAAAAAACAAGTAGCATAGACAGTAGATAGAAAATAGATGGGGGGGCGAGAATAGTTTGGGAAATATAGAACCTAAAGGACTTGAGACACATGGACATAATCTAAAGGGGGGTAATGGTGGGTTGGGGGGGGAGGGTGGAGGGGAATGGAGGGGGGAATAGAACAACTGTAACAGCATAATCAATTCAAAAAAATAAATAAATTTAATTTAAAAAATGTATTTTATTGATTATGCTATTACAGTTGTCCCATTTCCCCCCCTTCATTCCCCTCAACCCTGCACACCCCCTCCCACCCACATTCCCCCCTTTAGTTCATGTCCATGTGTCTTGAGTTTTTTAGCATTTACATTTCCCCTACTATTCTTGCCCTCCCCCTATTTTCTACCTACCATCTGTGCTACTTATTCTCTGTACCTTTTTACCCCCCTCTCTCCTCCTCTCACTCCCCTGTTGCTAACCCTTCGTGTGATCCCCATTTCTGTGGTTCTGTTCATGTTCTAGTTGTTTGCTTAGTTGGTTTTTGTTTTTGTTTTAGATGTGGTTTTTAATAATTGGGAGTTTGCCGTCATTTTACTGTACATGTTTTTTATTTTCTTTTTCTTAGATAAGTCCCTTTAACATTTCATACAATAAGGGCTTGGTGATGATGGACTCCTTGAACTTGACCTTATCTGGGAAGCACTTTATCTGCCCTTCCATTCTAAATGAAAGCTTTGCTGGATAGATCAATCTTGGATGTAGGTCCTTGCCTTTCATGACTTGGAATACTTCTTTCTAGCCCTTCTTGCCTATAAGGTCTCTTGAGAAATCAGCTGACAGTCTGATGGGAACACTTTTGTAGGTGACTGTCTCCTTATCTCTTGCTCTTTCTAGGATCCTCTCCTTATCTTTAATCTTCACTAATGGAATTATGATGTGCCTTGGGGTGTTCCTCCTTGGGTCCAACTTCTTTGGGACTCTCTGAGCTTCCTGGACTTCCTGGAAGTCTATTTCCTTTGCCAGATTGGGGAAGTTCTCCTTTATTATTTATTCAAATAACTTTTCCACTTGTTGCTCTTCCCCTCCCCCTTCTGATACCCCTATAATTCAGATGTTGGAACGTTTAAAGATGTCCTGGAGGTTCCTAAGCCTCTCCTCATTTTTTTGAATTCTTGTTTCTTCCTTCTTTTCTGTTTTGTTGTTTCTTTCTTCCTTCTGGTCCACTCCATTGATTTGAGTCCCAGTTTCCTTCCCATCACTATTGGTTCCCTGTGCATTTTCCTTCCTTTAAGTTAGCGCAGCCTTCATTTCTTCATCTAATTTGCAACCAAATTTAACCAATTCTGTGAGCACTGTGATCACCAGTGCTTTGAACTGTACATCTGATAGGTTGGCTGTCTCTTGGTTGCTTAGTTGTATTATTTCTGGAGCTTTGATCTGTTCTTCTGTTTTGGCCATTTTTTTGTCTTGACGTGCCTGTTACGTATTAAGGGGTGGAACCTTAGGTGTTCACCTGGGCGGAGCCACCCAGTGGCTTGGTTGTGATGTTGTATGTGGGGGCGGGGTCAGAGAGGGAACAATGGCGCTTGCTCTGCTCTGTCTGATTTCAGTCCCTTCTGCAGCTTCCCACAAGCAAACTGGGTCCTTCTGCTGCTGGTTCCCAGGTGGGTGGGCTTGTGTACATTCTAGGGCCCTGTGGGTCTCTCCAACAAACTCTCCTGTGAGGCTGGGAGTCTCTCCCTGCACGTCAGTCCCCCACAGGTGTTTTCAATGGGTGTTTTGAGGCTTTTTTTCCCCGGTGCTGGGACCCTGGGTTTCATGGCCTGTCTTGCTCCCCAGTTATACACATGTGAATGTGTGGGACCGCCGCCTGATCAGCCAGCCACCTTGTGCGCAGGGCCTCGCTTCACACTCGCCCCCTCGCTGGGTTGGCCTGTTGCCACCCCACGCCCAGGGTCTTCTAACCGCTGCCTGGGCACCCAGGGTCTGCACGCTTCTGTCTTGTGTGCCCAGCGTGCCTTTCATGCCTGGTGTCACTGGTTCTTGTGCTATGACCCCTTTCCGCTTGGCCGCCTGACTCTGTCCCACCTACTGGTCTGAGTGAATGTGTCTATTTCAGCTGCTTGGCTGTCTGACTTCTATACAGTTCAATTTTCTGTCAGTTCTGGTTGTTATTTTGTTTCTAAATTTTTGTTGTCCTTATTTTGGTTGTGCAAGGAGGCACAGTGTGTCTTCCTATGCCTCCCTCTTGGCTGGAAGTTTGTGTTTTTTATTTCTTAATAAAACAACCGCAACAGGGTACCCTAGGGAAATTACTCCGTGGGTTATATGTATTAGAAAGATAAACATTAATTTTACTGCAGAAGAAATAAGTCAATACTTCCAATTCCTGCACTAACCTGTGTAGTCATTAGCTTTTACTGTTTAAACATCTGGTTGGTCTTCTGTGTGTCAGGCCCTAGCTCAGTGTTGGGAACGCAAGGGTGTCTGCCTTCCAGGGGCAGGCTGGCTGATGGGAAAGGCAGGGACAAGACATAGAAACATTTCGCTAATGCGAAGAGGGAGCTCTGTGAAAGAACGGCACTGGGGAAGTGAAGGAAGCCTTCTAGAAAGCAACCTTCTGTCTGTGCGTCTGTCAGGCGAACAGAACTGTGTCGGGGCAGTGGTGGGCAGCGCCTCGCAGGCAGAAGGTTTCTGTGCAGGGTGCAGAGACACACAGCGCGTGTCCGGGCAACAGTGGGTTTTCTGTGACTGCAGTCCAGGATGCAAGGAGTTGTGGGGGGGGGGGTGAAACACGAAACAGGAAGAGTATGCTGAGGCCAGCTTCTGGAAGATTCCTTGTTAAGTAAGGCGTTGGTGTCAGCCTGTGAGGGATATCATAGCAGTGGGCCTGGTAGTGAGAACAGTTAAACAGGTCAGTGGTAGAGGACGCAACTTCCAAAACAACAGGCAGTGAAAGGTGCAGTGCCCCAGACCAGCGGGAGAGGCTGGATTAGTAGGCAGTGGTGGAACATTGGTTCACTCTTCGGGAAGAACAGTTAAGTGACTAGTTTGAGAAAACATGCATTACATGTGTTCATAATATCAGATTTAGATTTAGGAATTTTTGGTTAAAACTCTGGCTTACAGATAAAAAGAATTTGACTTTTCAGGTCATATGTCTTACCCTAAAACTGTTTTTGTAGCTGCTGCAGAGAAAGAGGCGATCAAGGGCAGCTACTCCAAAGTGCTGGACGCATATGGACTCCTAGGTGTCCTGCGGTTGAACCTTGGTGAGTTTATCGCACAACATTATTTACTTGTTTTTATTTCTGTGTTGTACGGATTTGAAAGAGACTATAAATAATGTCACACTCCATGTGTGAGCTGGAAGTGTGATGACATCTTTAAGCCCCGAGTAAGCTAACCTTGGGACAATTTCCCTGGACGGAAAAGGCGTGCCGCATGCTCCGGCTCTTCAGGTCGTGAGCTCCCGAGACTGCGGCCGTGGGAACTCTCTCAGCTCAGTGCCGAGCCGACAGGGCGGCACAGGGCACCCGCCTGCCCGTTGCCTCAGTGCGTTTGGGAAACGACATCTGAGGAAGCATGTGATCTTCCTGGTTTGTATTTGGAAGGGAGCAGTTTGAGTCTGTCTCTGCCACTCAGTGTCACCGTGGGCGGCAGAGGGACCTCTGGATTACCAGTTGGGTTGCTGGAGTGTGGCCCAAGGCCCGGAGCCGCCCCGTGAACGGCTCTGTTACTGGCCTGTGAGGAGGGGGAGCTCACACTGCCGTGCCAGCTGGCACGCGGCTTCCTTCGCCAATAAAGTCGTGCTGCAGGGAGGTCGGCGACACTGAACGGTGACTGTAGTGAGGTGGTGGTTTCCGTTCTGGAACAGTCACCTTTCCTCGTCGTGAGCCCTGACAGCCTGGGGACCCTCCTCAGCGGAGCACAGGTCCACGACGGGGGATTTGCCACTTGCTGAGAATCTGCTGCGTGCCTAGGTGCTGGCCTAATGTCGTCGTAGGCGGTCCTCCTGGCCCAGGGACCCCTGCCCGTGCTCCACGGCACAGGAGCGTGTCTCTTGGTGGTTGTGTCAGCACACGTTGTCGTGGGGCCACGCCTCGGCCACACCTGACACCGGCAAAGCCTGTGTTCACACACACCTCTGCCACCTTCCACCTTGTGGTGATTTCATGGGATCTTGTAGAAAATCTCTGTGACAGTTTCTGTAAATGAAGTTGCTTTATAAATTGTTACCAGGGACTCTTTGCCCATATATCAGCAGCAGCAGCTCACATTTTATAGTATTTTTCAACTTGACCGGTGACTGAGAACTCCCACATTCGTGATCGTATCTGAACTTCCAAACGATCGTAGAGGTAAGGCAGGGAAGGGAGTGCATGTCTTTATTGGATAATTTCGTATGCCCTCAAATTAAGTAGGGGAACAATTTCAAAAATACGAGATCATTCTGTTAATGCTTAAACGCTTCATTACTCTAAATGCATTTAAACAAGGGCTGCTTCTGCTTTTGCCAAAATCTAGTTGTGAACATAAACACGTCCGTGGTAAGCATAAAATAACCACAAGGTCATATTTAAAAAGCTGGAGACGAGAAGACAGCTGGAAGAAACTTTGAATAGCTTGAGAAATGCTGGAGCGTTTCATCCATTTGGATAAATCTTTGATTTTTGCAGGTGATACTATGTTGCATTATCTGGTCCTGGTCACTGGGTGTATGTCTGTTGGAAAAATTCAAGAGTCTGAAGTTTTCCGAGTTACTTCCACTGAATTTTTATCACTACGAATTGACTCTTCAGATGAGGATCGCATTTCCGAAGTGCGGAAAGTTTTGAATTCAGGCAACTTTTATTTTGCGTGGTCTGCGTCTGGAGTCAGTTTGGACCTGAGTCTCTGTGCGCACCGCAGCATGCAGGAGCACGCGACTGACAACAGGTTTTTCTGGTGAGTCTGAGCAGCGCCTTCCCTTGGCGTCACAGTGCGTCCGGCAGTTATTTCCGGAGAGGGCGGGCATGGCGAGTGAGCAGACCGACGCTCTTCCTGCCCCGGGCCTCAGCGGAGCGGAGCGGGCATCCGCCGGTCACTTTATGGAGTCATCGTGTGACATGAAACCCATTTGTTCTGTTTGACCTCAACTGACCTTCTGTTTCATAAATATATTTAAAATCTTTATTTTAAAATTAGCAGTGTGTTAGTTGTAACAGAATTGTGTTACTGCTGTGTCCTCTTCTTAGCCGTTAGATCTTGTCTCTGACAATATTGCCTTCCTAAGCCAACTTTCCCTGATTATTTTTAACTTTAGTTCTAAGCAGATGATCTTGGGTCAGCAGACTGCGAGGAGTGGTGTGCTGGGCTGAAGATTAGCACTGTCAGAAATGAGACTTAGGCCCTGGCTGGTGTAGCTCAGTGGATTGAGCACGGGCCTGTGAAGTAAGGGGTTGCCGGTTCAGTTCCCAGTCGGGGCACATGCCTGGGTTGCGGGCCAGGTCCCTGGGGACACATGAGAGGCAACCACACAGTGGTGTTTCTCTCCCACTTTTTCTCCTTCCCTTCCCCTCTCTCTAAAAATAAATAAAATATTAAAGAAAGAAAGAAACGAGACTTGGTTGGTAGCACTGCGCTGTAGCCCCTGATTACACACAGCGGGCTGGGTAGGTATCGGCGCCCGTGCACACGGCAGGCAGGGCACACCTGGCCCGCGCGGCCGGGTAAGGCCGGCCTCCCTGGAGCAGGCCCGCTCTGCGGTGCAGCGTTTCCTCCCCTGCAGGCGGCACCAGTGCCGTCGTCTTCCTCCCAGCAGCACGCACGAGGCCTTCGCCTCTGGCTCCGAGCGTTGTCCGGCCGACGTCCAGGACTCTGCGCTGGGCTTCCCTCCTGCCAGGGCCGTCCCCTGCACTTCCACCGCTGCCTGGCGGGTCCTCGGTGACCCGGGTCGAACCCTTTTGCCCTGGGTGTCAGGCTCAGAGTCAGCCACCACCCGGGAGAGAAACTAACTTCAGGGCAGCAGCTGGGCCCCTTGTGGCCCACGTGGAAGCTGCTTGGCACAGAGCAGGGCCATGGGGGGTGGAGGAGGCAGAGTGGAGGCATGGGGGAGGGGCGGGGAAGGGGACAGAGTCCTGGGGCTCTGGTCAGCCCTGCGTTTCTCCCACGGACTTGACCTTGAAGCCCCAAAGGGGGTGGAGAAAGGAGTTGCAGCTGGGCTGGCACTCACCCTCCCCGGCCTCCTCAGAGGGAGACGGCAGACTTTTTCACCCTCAGCCAAGGTCATGCTCACTGATGTTAGAGGGGAAGGGGGAGAAACACCGATACGAGAGAGACACCTGTCGGTTGCCTCTTGTACCCCCCCAACCAGGGACTGAATCTGCAACCTAGTCCTGTGCTGTGACCGGGGTGGAACCCGAGACATTTTGCTACGTGGAACGATGCCCAACCCACTGGGCCACACAGGCCAGAGCTGAGACAGAAAACTTCCTTCCATAACTACAAGTGCACGCAGGTGCGGGTGCATTGGTCAGCAATCAAGCACATTTGTTAGGTTTAATCAGTAGGAATAATTCACTTCCCTTTTCACTCAGTGAAGGGTAACTTGGAGCAGAGTGAGGGGGCTCACCCCCCAGGAGACCGGGCAAACAAAGGGAAGCTTAAACACCAGGGTGAGTTTGCTCACTTTACACTTCCTACGGTTTTTCTGAGGTTGGCATTCTCAAGCTTCACTTGGCGTAGAAAGACGAAAGCCTTAGGAGTTCATGTGTGTCACCCAGACCCTCGCAGCTCAGTAGCAGTGTTTTCCAGGATGGACCAGGGCCGTTTTGTAGCCAGAGAGCGGTACCTCCCTGTCGTAAAAGCCAGGCCGTGTCACTGTGCTGGGGAGCGAAGCTGCTGCTTTCTCCATTGTTTCCAAGTCTAAATAGTTCACTGCAGAGAGAACCGAAAACTGGCCTCGGAGGGAGAGACTCCACCTGAGGGGATGCGGAGGACCCCACACTCTGCCCCAGTGGGCACGGCAGGTCTCCTCTTCCCCTGCTGTGACGCGGGCCTCCCTGGGCTGTCTGGGTACACGGAGTCCCAATGACCCTACGCTTTGCCTTGGCCAGTGTAGGTGACAGTAAAGCAGGAACTTTGCATCACATTCTAAAAATAAGTAATGGTCATCAGAGGTGCAATTTATTCTAGTGGGTTCCACACTAACTCACACCCAGGGCGCACTCACGAGGTGGCGAGGGGGGCAGTGTGGCAGGGGCACCAGAGCTGCACACGGCCAGCGCCTGCATGGTTGCCCTGCAGCACGAGTCCCGGGGAGGGAGAGCTGGGCCCTGGGGCTCTGGCGGTACTGCTGGGTGTTCTTGACAGTGATGACCCTGGGCTTCAGGAGATGCCCTTGCTTTTTTATATACTTTGAAAACAGCAGACCATTCAGGAGAGACTTCCATATAATACAATAGAAGGGTTTTAAACCACAGAGCCAAGCTTCGATAGTAGAGAAAATCCACTTTCGCGAGTGCGGCCCCTTGTTTTCTGATAACACCAGAGAGGAAGTTTGCCTGCACAGCAGTCTGTTTCCTCGGTGGGTTTGCGATGTCCACGGGCTCCTTGGAGAGACCCCGCAGAGGGGTGAGCAGGATAAGAAGGTGGCCAGCACGGCAGGGCCCCAGCCCCGGTCCTGCTTCCGCCACAGGGACTCTGCTCTCATCGGTCCCCTACCCATGGCGTCAGCGTGTTTGGGTGAATGAAACTTCCTGCTCTGAACAAGCTTGGAAACCAGGCCCTATCTTTTCCCTCGAATCTGGAAAATAGGCATGCCTTAAAACAGCAGGCACGCCCTGGCCAATGTGGCTCAGTTGGCTGGAGCATTGTCCTATAACCAAAGGGTTGCAGGTTCGATTCCTGGTCAGGGCACAAACCTACATTGCAGGTTTCATCCCTGGTTCCGGTGTGTAAGATCCCAGGTCTGGACACATACAGGAGGGACCAATTGATGTTTCTCTCCCCCTCTCTCTCTAAAAGCAATGGGGGAAAGACAGTGTGCTCAGGTGGGGATAAAAAAGCAACAACAGCAGCAAAAACGGCAGTCTCTAGCCCGCCTGGCTGTTTAAATTTAAATGAATTAAAATAGAGCCTTACTTTTAAAAAAAATAGAGCCTTATAAAAGTCAGGCCTTGGAAGGCAGAGCTCTGTAAAGTGGGGTGGGTTTGTACGCAGGAATCCCTTTTTGGAGAAGCTAGGTTATGCACACATTGTCTGAAAGGGCGCGAGCGACGGGGCACGGATGCTGACGGCACGAAAACACTGCTTCTCTGTGGCCTGCGGGTCCCACGCGCGGGGGTCTTGGCTCACCGCCGGATCTCTGATGCCTCCCACAGCACAGCTCGCACCCACGAATCGACTGCGTGCCGGTGCCTTCTAACATAACGGCATGAACCTACTGTTCTCGCAGCACCATTTCGGAGCTTGCACGATGCTGCCTGGGACTCAGTGAGCTAACGGGGACTCAGTGAGCTAACGCAGCCCCTTCTTTTGCTGTTAGGAATCAGTCTTTGCACTTGCACCTGAAGCACTACGGCGTGAGCTGCGAGGACTGGCTGCTGCGCCTCATGTGTGGGGGGGTGGAGATCCGGACCATCTACGCTGCCCACAAGCAGGCCAAGGCCTGCCTCATCTCCAGGCTGAGCTGCGAGCGGGCTGGGACCAGGTTCAACGTCCGCGGGACCAACGATGATGGTCATGTCGCCAACTTTGTAGAGACAGAGCAGGTGCGTAGTGTTTTGTGTTGCTGAATTCAAGCATGGGATGCGAGGTGCAGAAAGTAATGGAATGATAGGCTTTTTAATTGATTCTGAGCTCATTTTTGACAGGCGTATGGTCATTTTCTGGTTATTCCCAGCTACATATTCACGTTCAGAAGGGCTGCCATAAAACAAACTTATTAGGTCTGGCTCTTCCGGTAAGAAAGGGGATTTTCACTCATCAGCATGGCATGGGAGTGCCTACATTTCAGTATGGAGTTAAAAACCCTCGTTTATAGGGTAGACAACTTAGGAAAAGTTGTTTTCTGTGAAATGAAGTCAATCCTAACTCTTAGGTGTAGCTATATGCACCACCTAAAAATAAAAGTTGTAGTATTTTTGGCTATGAAATTATATAACTGTAAATGTAATCTATGCCTCCAGCCCAACTCCATTTTTCAAATTAATTTTAAAAATATAAAAAGCTTAATAAGAATTATGTGAACATTGGAAGGTACGTGTATAAAATTTTGAAATTTAAAAGGAACTCTTAAACATTGTGATTCTTGTGTTATTTTTTAATGTTTTTCTGGTTAATACAGGGTGAGGCAAAAGCAGGTTCATAGTTGTGAGATGCAAGACTTCATTCTTGTATTATTATTTACTGTTTATTGTGTTATTTTTCACATAGGTTTCCATGTAAACCTGCGTTTGCCACACCTTGTACATGTAGAAAGTTATCACTGATTGAAAGAATCAGACTCAGTCAGTAGCCTGTTTTGGACACTTTGTGAGGACGGTGTGTGTGCGAGAGCTGGGTCCTAAGATGTGACGGGAGCGCACCGCATGTCAGTGGGTCTGTCCTCCGGTGCAGAGCGAGCGGTGCGGCTGTGGAACTACTCTCTGCACCCTTGTCCCCACAGGTCGTGTACCTAGACGACTCCGTCTCTTCCTTCATACAGATCCGGGGCTCCGTCCCCTTATTCTGGGAGCAGCCAGGGCTGCAGGTAGGTGTCTGATGCTGTCTTTGTTTCCTCCTGAAAATGTCCACTTTCTCTAAGTTTTCAGGATGGTTACTAGTTCGCCGGATAGTTCTATTATTCAGTGCAATAGTATTAGCCAGATTCATAAATGAGTAGCTAAGTATAGAATTCCTAGAATTTATCTTAGATATTTTTTCCTGCAACTTTCCTGTTCTTTTAAATATCTATAGAAATTCAGCTGCTGTGTTTAGTATTAAAATTTTGATGTTTTCATAGTACATTGCTTTTCAGAGTGCTTCCATATTCACTATCTCTGTATCTAACCGCTTTGTTTCTGTAGACAGAAAAACATAGTGGTTACAACAAAGCTTTTGAAATCAGACTTCTCAGTTTGGGTTCTCACTCCGTTACTGCTGCTGTGTGGTCACTGAGCCGGCCTGTGGCCGGGGGTCAGGGGTCCCCCGTTACTCGGCCCAGCAGTTTCGAAAGTCAGCCCTTCTTTGAGCAGGAGCAGCTTAGTTTCCTGAGGACCTTCTCTCACTTCCCCACTACTCTGAAAGAATAGGTAAGACAGGGGTGAAGTACATAATCGATTTTAAAACCCAAAAGGCAGATATTCCTCTTTAAAAATGAAAATACACAGGTTCAAAAGTTAATTCTCTCCTAGAAGACAGACAAGGACTTGTGACCAAGAGTGGCTGTGAACGGTACCTCGGTGTCCTGTGTGTTCTCAGGACCAGAACCAGATGTTTCCGGGGGGCTCTTCAGGTCAGGGTTACCCCGTCAGCAGCCCTGTGTAGCCCCTGGGGCGGCCTCTTGCCTCGCCTCTCCCCCGCCCCACCACCCCGTCATTGAGTCATCTGCGGTTTTTAATGAAAAGGTGATAAAGGGATCCTCTTACATGATTTTTTTAAAGAGAGGGCGAGAAACACGATAGGCGAGAGAAACACAGTATGCAAGAGAAACAGCAGTCGGTTGCCTCTCGCACGCCCCCTACTGGGAACCTGGCCCACAGCCCAGGCATGTGTGTGCCCTGACTGGGAATTGAACCAGTAACTTTTGGTCCTCAGCCGGTCCTCCATCCATGAGCCACACCAGCCAGGCCTCATCTTACATGATTTTAAAATGCTGATTTATGGCCTCAATTTCCCATCAACTGAAATAGAATCTCTTAGAATGGGGCCAGGAGTCTGCATTTCGACCACGTTCTCTTCCAGTCAAATTGAGAACTTCTGTTGTACGGGCTCCTGCTCCAATGGCCTGGAAGCAGCTGGGCCTGAGCAGGCGAAGGCCGCCCAGGACGCCCGGCCCAGGCTCCCCGGGCCTGCTCCCATTCTTTCTCCCTGCTGAGCGCCCGGTGGAGGCCGTCCTAGTGTCTGCTTGCCCCAAAGACTCTCCCAGGTTTTGTCCCAGCTCCGCAGTTCTTTTCCGTTTCCTTTTCCCCCCACTTCCGATACGCTGTGCCCGTCTGGTCCGGGCAGCCATTGTGTCCTCACAAGGCTTCCTCTGCCAGTCCTGCCCCACGCCCCTCCAGCAGGAGCCCTCTGCTCCCCAAGTTCAGGTCTGCTGTCCCTCGGAAGCTCCTCGGGAGCCCCCTCCGGTCACGTTGAGTGGGCTCCAGTCCCACCCATGCTGAGCTCATCATTAAATGTGGAGTCCCTCCAGTGTGTACTCTTCTGCACGAGGGGTGTGGCCTTGTGCCACGAGAAGCTCCCAGACTGGCAGTGCTCCTGGAAAGGCTGGCAGCCCGACTGGGTGGTCCGGCCCCCGCATGGAGCAGGCAGATGCCGATGCGCGCCTGTGTGAGGCGCCGCGAGACCCCTCGTGGGAGTAGCAGTGCCCTCGTTCCGCTCGCTCTGAAGCTGCGCAGTGTAGTGTTGCTGTGATGCATGGTGACCTCACACTGCAGCTCGTGTCATCGTGAGAGAGGGTCAGTCACGCGCTCTGTGCCTAGTGTGGTATCGCACACTGAGTTTGCCGTCAAACTTCAGAGATACGTGAGCGTGAAACTGTCATAGTGGAAAATGACGTTTCACGGCACCCAGTTAAGTGGTGTCCTAAAATATGGTCGGTGCACCTTCGTTTTAATTGGGTAAATCTATGGTTATTTAAGGCCTTACAGCTTTCTGCTTTTATCACAATGGACAAAACAGTTTTTTATTGCAAAATTGGTTTCTTTAACATTGAGTAACGAAACACCATCTAGCCCAACCAATATATGGTTGTAAGAGTGATGTAACTTGTCGTGTGTGGGGTGGGCAGAGTGGTGGGAACGCCCACAGCTGTCACCCGAAGAATGGGGAGCCCGTATTTTGTCACCCGACAGGTAGGAGGACTGTGCAAGATAATATTAATGAGCAAAATGCCCGATCTTGCACTTTCATTGAATTATAGGCAATTGCCTGAGATCACCCCAAAGAAAAAGTATTGACTTCTGCTGAGCTGCGCTGAGTGCTTCATGTCCCAGGGCACACCCTCCTCAAAGTGGGAGGTTTTGTATGGACTGTTAGGCAGTGTATGACGACATTGACTGTGGATGTGACAGGAGTCCAGTCGGTTTCTACTGAAAAGCACTGAAGAGAAGCCGCTGCTTATGAGGCAGAGTCGTTAGAATGTCCTGTGCCGCACAGAGGAGGTGTGGGATGGGGGCGGTGTGGTTGCCTGAGGGCGTGCTTGGGGCGCAGAGGGCCCATTTCTGGGTCCACTGTGCAGCTGCACAGTGGGTATGGCTGCTCCCCTTTCCAGCCCCTCCAAAGTCACTTAGCTCACAGGTTAGCAAGAGTAAGTGGGGGTGGGGGTGGGGGGCAGAGTCTCAGAGGGAAATGTTGCAAGATGAAGTTCAGGGAAATAATCCGATCTCGCTTCTCTGTTTCTTTTTGGCATCCGCCACAGCGTTCTCAGTTCTGTCTCTGCCACTCTGACCGTAAACAGGAACACAGCGCAGTGGTTAGATTTTTCCATCTGGTTTCACTGTCGTAACCCGAATTTCTGATTCTGCAGAATATGCTGTTATTCTAGTTGGTGCGACTGTGAGACTGACTTTGGAAAGTCTCTTTTCCCTGGAATGGCATTTTTAATTTGTGGGGTCTTTGGGTCAGGGAGGAGGGAGCAGAGTGTTGGGTGTAACAGAGAGAAAACACGTAGACATTGCGCTCGCAGATGGCTGGGAAGAGGAGGGTTAGGGGGCTGTTTGGAATTAGCGGTGATGACCCACGGGGACCAGTGACCTCACTTGGCTGCATTTGGTTTTTTACCTCCCAAATGGCAGTACTGTCTGTTGACTTACACAGGATGTAGTTTGAGTGTAAAACAAGGAAATGTATATGAAAGCACTCTTAAAAATATCTTCACAAATAAAATTTTCTTTTAGTTTACAAGTATTTCATAATGGTCTAAGTTCTAGCTCTTTTTTTATGAGATTGTATTTTAAAAAGTAAAAGGGAGGAGAAACTTCTAGAACTTGTCTGTTAAGGGAATGTTGTGAACGACAGTTACCTGACTTACTACTGCACATTCAGCTCAGCAGATGGGTTATTGCAGATCGTAAACAATGGTTTACCTTAGCCTCCCGGCGGGGTTTCGGTGTGACCAAACACACTCTTGTTCTAGGTGGGGTCTCATCGTGTCCGTATGTCAAGGGGATTTGAAGCCAATGCACCCGCTTTTGACAGGTAAGGCTATCGTTTCTACACGGTGCCCCAAGTGTTGACGTTGCCAAGCAGTGAGTCTAGTCATGATTATATCTGCCGATTCTTCTCACCTTTCGGCTCTAAGTGGCATTTCCAAGACCTAGTCTGAGTGGAACCCAGGGACACCTACCTAGTGCCACGACTTCCAGTGGCAGCAGCCCTGGGCGTGTGGGCCTCGGTCTCAGCCTCACACCCCTCCCGGGGGCGTCCAGCTCAGCAGCTGAGTGCTGGAAACTGCCTGGCCCAACACGGGCTGTGCCCTAAGGGGTGAAATGCAGAGTCTACAATGTCACATGGCATGCTTGAGTGCGATGCTGTGACGTTACAGAATGACATGCTGATGATTTTGTCATAAAAGAGGGGCAATATTGGTGCCAGACCCTGGATACATTGGCTTTCAAACAGTATAAAAAAAAGAAAGTTAATATTGCCTTATTAATATTTCTTTCCTATGTTGAGTGACATTGCAGCTGTACTGGGTTAAATGCTTACAGGGATGTGATGTCCACACGTGTGAGCTGCGGCCCTCGGCCCGCAGCCCTGGCTGCCCGCCCAGCCGGGTGGCTGGCGCTCTGTGCCCCTGGAGGGGAGAGGGAGTTGGCAGACCCCACAGTCCCGGCACGGGGAGCTCAGCGCCGATGGGCAGAGAGGCACTTGCATTCACTGACCTTGCATCAGTTCAGAGTTTCGAGACCGTGCAGAAAGAGTTGTGTTCAGTTTTGCCAGTTCTGTGAGTTTGCAGTCCTGTCATGCGGGTTCCGATCAGTCATGGATCCCTGCTTATTGAAAACAAAGTTTAGCTTATCACTTGATGTGTGCTTATTTTCTTTCTTCCTTTAATAGGCATTTTAGAACACTTAAGAATTTGTATGGCAAACAAATCATAATAAATTTGCTTGGATCTAAGGAAGGTGAACATATGCTAAGTAAGGCCTTTCAGGTAAGAATGGTGTTTAAAAAACAATATGATAGAATAACCAAATTCTTCCAGGGGGTAAATGACTTCCTAGAAGAGGGTCAGAAACAGTGCAGGGTGATGTCGCTGCACTAAGAGCTTTCAAGGTGATTGCCACTATCACGTTCTAAAATGAGCTTATGTGTGTTGTGGAGAACCGGAAGACCCCCCCCCCCAAAAAAAAAAAAGTTCTCTATCACTGGCAGGGAGATTGCAGGCAGCTTCCTCCCTCACTACATCTTGCCTTGCCCGCTGCCCGGAAACCAGTTCTCGGTTCAAACCCGTGGAAGAGCGAGAACCACTGGGACACAGGCAGGGGCGCACCTTGTCAACATGAGGGACGGGTTCGAGAGTTTCGAGTAAAACACCCCGAACAGAGGCCTGCCTGCTAAAGAAAAATATTTTTCATAAACCATTACTGCATCAATAATCGATATAAATTATAGCGTTGCATAGAATTATAAGCGTGGACAAAATGGTGAGAAAATGTTTTCTTAAATTCAGTCTAATGAACTTAAGAATTAATTATTTGGCTATTTTGTTGTAACCTTGTGAAATAAATGTTTGTAATGCATACATTATACTTTAGAGAGTGACTTTTTATGGTAAACTTCTAAAACATTTATATATATTGAACTAAGATATAAAAATGAATTTATATCTTTTATAGGTTTTGTCTTAAAAATAAGTTATTTTGAGACTCTGTGGTAGATATAAACAGTTACTAAATTTGGGTTGTAACAAATGAGTGCTAGTGGTGGTGAGCACTTTTTCATCTTCTGAGCCAGATGAGAATGTTACCGAGGTTCTCTGGCAGTCCACCACCAAACCTCTCGGGGAGGGGACAGGTGGTTTTAGGGACGTTGTGCCCTTAGCTGTCACACGCGGGGACTTTTCCTTTCACTGCTAGTGTTGACAGGAGCGCGTGAGGTCACCGAGGGGCCCGGGCTGAGGCCGCCGTCTGGAATGTCGGGGTCCGTTGCAGCCCATGACGGTGGGGCCGTGTTCGGTCGGCATTGTGTCGAGCATTTGCCTTTTGACTTCCAGGGGCACCTGAAAGCGTCCGAGCACGCCGCCGATGTCCAGATGGTGAATTTCGACTATCACCAAATGGTGAAAGGAGGGAAAGCAGAAAAGTTGCATAGTATTCTTAAACCTCAAGTCCAGAAGTTCCTAGACTATGGATTTTTTTATTTCGATGGAAGCGAAGTTCAAAGGTTTGACTGCTCTGTTTCTCATTTCTTTAAATTGGAACTTTGCTATTATTTTAAAGTTATTCTTAACATGGAACTCTAAAATTTTCTTTTTTAAAGTCAAAAGTATCTTCACTTAGTGTACTCAGTCTTAGGCTTTTTTCCTTTCTGTGGAATTTGGCAAGTCATAGTCATAGCTTACGTCGCTGGCTGTACACCGTGGGCCAGGCAGTGTCCTCGGTTCCTCCAGGTGTCAGCGACTGCACTTGCGGGCCGGCTCTGCTCTCCCCTCACCCCGCCCCCCAGGCCAGCGACTGGGACGTGCTGGGGCTGGGCGCTGGGGCTGGGTTCCTCCCCTGCCGGGGCCCAGGGGGCTGCCCCGCCTCCCCCGTAACACAGTGACTCTCCTGTTTCCTGACCTCCGAGCACCACTAAGTGTACATGGAAGCGAGAGACATGGCTTACTGTCTGCTTTCATATAACTTAAACCTTCAGTTTTTGCATATGAAATAGAGGAGAAAAGTGTTGAAATTAAGAATCTAGGTGGAGGTAAAACTTTAGCACACAGCACTCAAATTTTTTGTTTTTCTGTGTACAATGTCTAGTATCAAGGCTGTAGAAACTTCCTGGGACAGTCAGTAGAGATAGCAGGTTTTGGGGGCTTTAAAATTCATTCCTTAAGTATTTGGTATCTTTTAAGTGCAAAGAACTGTGGGTTTGAGTCTGAATGCGTGTTTAGCTCCTCATTGCTGGCCCGATTTTAAACAGAGGGCGCACGTGATCGAGAATGTGTCACAGAATGTTAGCAGTGGCAGGCTCTGGGGCGCGCGTGGGAGTTCACTGTAAGATTCTTTCACCTTTTCTCGTATGTATGAAAGTCATAAGGATAAAACGTTGGGGGCAGAAGTGGATGCCAGCTCTCGACCTCCTCAGTTCTCCCGCAGCTGTCCCCCCTCCGCCGCGCGAGCCGCCTGACCGGGCGCGTCTGTGTGTTGCAGGGGCCAGGGCGGCACCGTGCGCACCAACTGCTTGGACTGCCTGGACAGGACCAACAGCGTGCAGGCCTTCCTGGGCCTGGAGGTAACGCGGCGTCCGCCCCCCCCCCCCCCCCATGCTGCCTGTGACTGTGCAGAGCCAGCCAGGCTTCCGGAAAGGCGTTCTCCTCCTCCGGTCTTTTTTTGGCCCAAATCCTTGTCATTTAAACATCTCCTCTGTCTGTTCTAAATGCTCTCCTGTGTAGCTATCTGTTTCCCTCTGTTAGTTCTTAACGTTCCTTTGAAAGAACCCCTGTTCTTTGTACTATTCCAATAATTGCCTCTTTTGCTTGTCTTTTAGAAGAAGTGTGGGGTGGCCAAAAAGTTCATTCGCTTTCCCTCATGTGCTGACTCTAGTAGTGCTTCATTGTCTCTAACTTCATTTGAAACGATTTTGTTAGGTTGCATTATGACAGCCGTCACATCAGCGTGCATTTTAAAATGCTCATCAAAATTGGCGGATTTTTGTGTAGTCATTTAATATTGAAGATGGAAGAAAATATGCAACATTTTCAGCATTTTATGCTTTCTTATTTCAAGAAAGGTAAAAATGCAACCGAAACACACAAAAAAATGTGTGCAGTGCATGGAGAAGGTGCTGTGACTGACTGGACGTGTCAGAAGTGGTTTGCGAAGTTTCCTGCTGGAGATTTCAGCTGGATGCTGCTCCAGGGCCCGGTAGACAGACCAGCTGAAGTTGACATTGATCACATCGAGACAGTAATTGAGGATGATCAGCGTTACACCCCGCAGTAGATAGCTGACTTACTCAAAATATCCAAATTAATACAGCTATTGGAGACAGTGAGAAACGTGTCTCTTATTTTATAGAGAAAACTAAATGGGCATTTTGGCCAACCCAACAGCATGTTATTCTTTCCTCTAGTTAATGATGCTCTTACATCTGACCAGAATATTGCTTAATTAGTTCTGTAGTTGGGGATTTTCTGTCTCCAAAATGAAGCTGCAGTGTGTAGAATTCTCCACTACGGACAGGTCTTTTTCAAGTAACTAAGTATGTTTTATTGTTTCGCCTTGATTGAAATCTGTCCTGCATCTGTTATTATAACTTATTTAGAACACATTTCCCCAGGTTCGAGAGTGAGCTGACTGAGGTGCTGAGTCCTCACTGAGAGTGAACAGACAGGCTTTAGTTTTCAGAGCCCGGCTTAGCTGGCCGTCCACTGCTGGGAGCTGGGGCTGCGAACACTCCCTGTGTAGACGCTGGTTAGACGGTCACCACATTTAACGGTTAGAGTAGGCAAAACCACGCAGGCAGTGGCAGCAAGTTTCGCCCCACTTCTCGGAGACAGGGGTGCGTTTGTGGTGAAGGGGTCCTAGGGCCTGTTTGTTTTGCTCTCAGTGCCAGCAGACGGCCGCTCTGGTGCCGGGCCCGTGCAGCGTTTGCGTCTGACCTCAGTGTCTGATCCCACAGGAATGCTGGGTAATCCCCATGGTACAGGTGCGGTCAGAGGGCCCCCTAGTAGGGAGGAGTTCATGAAACCCAGGCATGTGGTGCGACTGCATTCCCAGTAGGAGAGTAGGCTGGTGGAGAAAGGCTCGTCCGTTGCTTCAGCTCTGCCCAGTTTCAAGGCTAAAATTCATTCTGAATCAAGAGCAGTAACTTTTCTAGACGCTTTTCTTGTTATCTGTGATGTTACTGTGGGGGCCCGGCCAGCTGTGCCCCGCATAGTTGTCTTTGACACACGTCACCAGTGGTGATTTCTATCGGTGACAATTCAAGAGCAGCTCTGTTTACTGCATAACCTTGACCTCATCACCCAAACTGAGAGCCACATACAAAAGCTGCAGAAACGTAGCCATTCTACACGTGCACATGTATATTTAAATAAACTAGGTAAATATTTTTCTTCTCTGCCGCGTGCTGTTGAATAATAGTTCTTTTAGGTCAATAAAGGTAATGGAGTAAGATTTATAGATATAGATGTAGATATTTATTTTTTAAAGAGAGGAAGAGAAACATCACTGTATGGGTGTCTCTCATGTGCCCCACTGGGGACCTGGCCCACAACCCAGGCATGTGCCCGGACTGGGAACCAAACCGGTGACCCTTTTCATTCACAGGCCAGCACTCAATCCACTGAGCCACACCATCCAGGACTATAGGGATATTTTAATAAGATTAATTTTATTGTGTAACCAGAAAGATGTTTTTGTTATAACATGGGAATATCAAGTTGCTTGTAAGTCTCACTGATGCGGTCTTTACTTTAAATGTAGAAATGGTGGGAAACAACACAGTTAGCCTGGTAAACTGTTATATCAGAATCCAGCCCCATGTAGTCCTGTAAGTACAGATTTTTGGTTTACTTCTGGTGGTCCTCAAAAGTCACACCACACACGGACAACAGTGCAGTGATTGTAGCGGGGGCAGGGTGGAGGAGAAAGAGGGTACAGGGGATTCTAATGGCGATGAAAAAAACACAAAAATAAAAAAGAGTCACATCACACTGAAGGTGTTCATGTAGCTGTAAGAGTTTCTCTCTTGTTGTTTTAGATGCTAGCTAAACAGTTGGAAGCTCTCGGCTTAGCCGAGAAGCCTCAGTTGGTGACCCGCTTTCAAGAAGTGTTCCGGTCCATGTGGTCCGTGAACGGAGACTCAATCAGTAAGATCTACGCCGGCACGGGAGCTCTGGAAGGGAAGGCCAAGGTGGGTTCCGGTCCCGCCTGCCCGCCTGGGGGAACTGGGAGAGGGTCTCTCTGTACTTCTAGGGTCTGTCTCACGTGCTTTGGTTCCTCCGTAACTCTCCCCCTGCCGCGGTGCCTGAGCGGATGCAAGGTGGGCGCTCCCTGGGGCGGGGCAGCGGGGTGTGACGTGGTCAGTCATCCCATCAGCGTCCAGGAGGCCTGGGTCTGCACTGCTTCCACTTTTTCATGGCTTCCCCTCGTATCTTTGTTTGACTTTTTATGTTACATATTTGATTATAAATAAGGTTTTTTAAAACCACAGTCTTCCTGATAAAGGGTCCTGTTCTGTCTGGCTGGGTCCCAGCACTTAACCCGGTGCCCACTGTGGAACAGCCAGGTGGCCGTGCTGGGTGGACGGCACGTCAGCAGGCAGTCCATGCGACACCCTCTGTGAGCCCGGCCGGGTCAGGGCTTCGTGGTTCCGTGTTGCTGTTTTCCCGATCTCCCCTTGAGAAGGAGACTCTCAGGGCGTCAGATGCGCACTCAGTTGAAGTTCTCTGCCTCAGCAGTGCCTTTGCACTGGTGCTGTTGTCGGGACACTGTCTGCCACACCACTATTTGGCCCCTTACCGAGGGGCTTTGGAAGCCTGCTCGAGGTTATTTTTTATTATTTTATACACAGCATTGACTTTTTAAGGCTCCTAGCCTCAGCTGCCTCGGCGGTCCCCAGGTTACTTCAGAATAGACAGGAGGGCGTGCGCCTCCTTCACGGCCCTCGCTCAGCCTCTTCGGGGGGACGGGCGAGCTCCTCGAAGCCCACGCATCACCCGAAGGCCCCGCCTTCCCAGGTCTGCCTCCTCTCCCGGGTCTCGCTCAGGGCCGTGCTGCTTCCAGCACTGCTGCCTTTACTTGCCAGAGTTCCTTTTGTTTGAGTTACAGAAATGATGCGTATTAACATCTACAGTGTTTTCTCTTCAGTGATCCCCATTTTTAAAAACCTCAGTCGTTAAGCTTTCACTTATTTATTTTACATAAAGAACATAATTTTTGCTATTATAACCTGATTCTCTACAACTATTGCCTAAGATCTTATGTTTTCTTACCTTTTTGTTTCTGCAGCGACTAAGACAATAGAGAGGTTACCTGTGTTGTGAGTCTTTTACCTCTAACCTGATAGCTCTGAACTTTTATATGTGAACATAGTGGTCCGTGCTGAGCTGAAACCTAACATCTGAACTGTTCTTTCTTTCCTTTTCTCTGGGTTCCTTTTGACTAATTGCCTGATAATGTGGACGGTGAGTGTCTTTTCAAGTAATGTCCTCTGTTTATGGAATCATGTGGAAGAGAATAACATTTTAAGCCTCAAAACTGTTATCTCTTTATAAGAAATAAAAATTATGTACTGAAAACTATTTTCCTAAAAGGTAAAAGTTGGGTTTTTTATAAAACAACTATCAAAGTCCATAAGAACAAAATAAATCCTTACGGTAACTAATGTACCTGAGTAAAGTATGTGTTCATTAGAAGTTATGTAAACTCCGTTACTATAAGAATTAGCATAAGTTCATTGTTTTTATTATTTATATGTACATAGGCAATAAAATATACAGACTAAAATATGCAGACTGTAGTTTAAGTGTAAACTATATTTATGTAATACTACATAACATTACCTATTATGTATATATTACAGGTTATATGTATTTATGAACTGTAATTATGAATTTCATTTTAGACTAGACCTTCATCCCTATGTTCAGTTGTAACTGTGACTAGTGAAGCTATTTGGGAACAACTTCAGTTTCATTTTCTATTATTAAAGCCCTTTGCAGTGTGGGAGTGCAGTGTGGCCGCCTCCATCTCCCCCGCCTCCCTCCCCGCCCGCCCCGAACCTGAACGTTAGGGGCAGGGGGTGGTCTCCTCGTTTCCCGTGCAGTCAGTTCACTTTCCACGGAGCCCGAGCTCTGCACGGCGTGGGTGGGCACAGGGGGGCACTGCGCTTCCTCCTCGTCCCCACGGAGTGGTCGTCCAGACGAGGAGAGGCGCAGTGGCACCTGGGCCCATTTTACTGAGATGGTTTGACACGCAGAGTAGAATGATTAGGCTCTTTATCACAGTGAGGGGATGTAAAGCTTAAAGTTTCAAAATGCCTCCCGAGGAAAAAGAACAGAACTTAGAATGAAAGTCGGTGCTCCTTTCTCCCCAACAGGCCGGAAAGTTAAAAGATGGTGCTCGTTCTGTTACTAGAACGATTCAAAATAACTTCTTTGACAGCTCCAAGCAAGAGGCCATTGATGTTTTGCTCCTGGGAAATACTCTAAATAGTGATTTAGCTGACAAAGCTCGAGCACTTTTAACTACTGGAAGTTTGCGTGGTATGCGTACTTTTATTTTACTTTATGCTATTTGTATATTTCTTCTAAAAGCCCAAGAAGTAAATGTAAACTTATTAATATAAATAACTTTTAGGTTCAGTTGATTAAAATAGATTTGGAAGGATACTGAATTCTACCAATATGATTTTTAAAAATTGCATTCTCCAAAGAAAGTTTCTCCCTTACAGAATGTGCATATCGTCCGTGGTGCTAGTGAGCGGTGAGCTGAGGGGTGAGTGGAGGGCGGGTGTCGCACACACGCAGCTCACGGAGCACCCGCCCGGTAGCTTAGTTACATGGGAAACAGACGCGTCGTTGCGCAAGCCGATGCCTAGTTTGGTGGGTTTGCTAATCATCACCCCAGAAGTTTCTACAACTTGTTCTTACCTTTTCACTGCTATTGCTTGAATACATGTTGTCATTCTAATCATTTAAAATATTGCTTATTATTGGATACTACTATTCCCAATTTTAACATCGGACATAGCTAAGTGAGTTTCAGGGTAGCTTTTGTCTTCTGTGTCTTTTATTAAAATCAAAAGAATTTGCGCTCATATCAGTGAACATATATTAAGTAGAATAGTGGGAAAACTTAACATTCATGGTAAAACTTAATAAATTAGACTTCCTTTCTCCATACTTTTTCTATTTCAACCTTTCATCACTCTTAACATTTTTATTTCTTCAGTTATCTCCAAGCCACACCTTTGAGTTTTTTCCGTCTGAGTAGGAGAAATTGCTCCTCTCCAAGCCCTGCGCTCTCAGACGGCTCCTTGGTCAGACGGGTGCGCAGGGGTCTCTCCGAACAGCCCGCAGGACTACAGGCAGCAGTCCAGCTCCTGGGGGTTTGAAGCTCTGGGAACAGAACCTGCCTGGTGGCAGGCGGTGTTCACTGCAGGCTCTGGCCTCCCGGCCTCCCAGCCCTGACCTGCCTCTGTCACCTCCTTGCACTTGTCCCTCCCTGACAGAGAGGCATTACTCAGAGTCATTTGAAGTAAGCAACTGCAGGAAAGAAGAGTCAACCATCCCCAAACCTGTCAGTTTCGTAGTTTGCCGCATCTTTCCCTATACGTAAAATATGCCCTAGAAAAGTACAGCCAGTTCTGCCCTAACCCTCACTCTAAGAGTGGGAGTTGTTCCGGCAGGGATGGTGCGTCAGGGGACACTCTGGGCACAGTGCCGCTCCTGTCTTAGCTCCTGTATGGTTCTGCGGGCGGTGACAGCAGTGGGCACAGACAGCTGCCCTGCAGAACGGAGGTGAGTGGGAGTGCACAGCATGTGTGCACACTTGTGCACAAACCTCAGGTGTGCCCCTGCTCCGGCCCCCACGCGGTGCTGTGCGCCATGCCCAGCCACTCTGGGGCAGCCGTTTCCCGTGCACAGTCAGATGCCGTTCCCCCGGCCCGATGCTGCAGGCACACCCGGGGAGCAGTGACACTCCTCACCAGTTACCACGCGTGAAGCTGGGCTGGCATCTCTAGTGAGCTCCTGTCTTTTTTTTGGTGTGTCACTGCCAAAGTGGCCATTTTGCCCTAACCCACATTTCCCATGAGCCCTGAGGCCATGTGACAGACGTGGCAGCGCCTTCCCAGCACGGTGATGTTTTTGGCACGCATGTGGTTTGTGGTAACCGCACTGGTGGCGCTCGCCCATCCGTGAGTCCCAGGAAGAATTCCGAAAGGCCAGTGCCTTCCGCGTGTCCAGTGTCCTCCAGCCTCTTAGGTTCTGCGCATCATCTCCACACGCATGTGCACGTGTGCACACACTGACACCCATGCACGGGAGCGGCCTGGGAAGCAGGCCCAGGACCTGCTGACGTCCCCGAGTCCCCACAGGGTTTTCGAAGATGCAGAGGCTCACGTCAGCTATTGCCATTTATGTTTAATTTTTGGTGTCCTGTCGCCATCAGAAAAAATAAAGCCATCAAATGGACTTCAAAGAAATGAAGCCACCCTAGAATGCTGTCGTTAAGCCCGGATTCTAACCGCCACTTGCTGTTTTACTAATGACTCTTTGTTTTCTTCTTCATGCATCCGTAGTTTCTGAGCAGACTTTACAGTCAGGTACAGTACAGAAAATCAGTCTGTGTAAAAGCAACATTTTCTCTATTTCTCTAAGGTTGATACTGTAAACAAACAAAGCCATATAAATGTCAACTTCCTCTTTACTTTTCCCTCAGACCCTAGCAGCACGAATGGATACCTTGTTTCAACCTGAGGAGGAAAAGTTTGGGTTTGAGAAAGCTACTTAGACGGAAATATGCAAAGCTCTCTGTCATCCTGTAGCAAATGTTTAATTCCAATTAGAGAGCCCGCCAGTTGTAATTTCACTTTTATAATTTATTGGGCAGACCTGCGTTTGCCCAATGTGCGTGTGGAAGAGCTCAGGCGTGAGTGTTGGGGGTGACCGTAGAGCACACCCGTGATCCGTGCGCCCCAGCAGCGGCTCACACGCAGCCTTCGCAGGGCGGCGCCTGGCTGTCTCACCACGTGGGCGAGGCGCTCTGTAAGGGCTCTGAGACCAGCGCTGAAACCTTTAGTGTCAGGGCTGCCGGCCAAGTTGGGAGAGTTAAGCGTGGAAGACTGAAAGGTGGTTCTTTTCTGCCCCTCCTGTTCACAGGAATGTCGTGCCTTTACTTTCTGAACAAAGTCTGTGATCTCAAAACATGAATCTGTGGCAAAGGGAACAAAAGTTAAACTCTTGCCAGAAATTGAGTGAAAAAAGACATCTTTGTTTCCCTTCACGTCAGACGCGTTTTGCTTAGTTGTTGCTCCGCTGTTTTGAGAAACTGGTTAGTTTTTGGAGGCGGCGAGGAACACAGCAGTTCCTCTGCCTGAGAGTCACGCAGCAAGACTCGTGCTCTGAAAGGGCAGCGTGGAGTTGGGCACGTGCCTCCCTCTGCGTGTCATGGTGCCAGCGAGTGGAGGAAAAGACAGGACATTTAAAACTCTGTTCCACGCATGCACTGACTTCATCAGTGCACTCCGCTCGTTACTTGTCTTGCTGATTAGTTTAAGCTGTTGGATCATTCTAGAACTTGTGTCTGGATTGAGAAAGGACTGCAGAAGCTGGTCTCATAGTAGTGACAATGATAGTGACTTCAGTGACAAAGACCAGTGGTGATGTAGGGACAGCCAGCTCCTAGTTAGCCGTGTGAGTGCCAGAGCAGAGCTCCTGCCCTCCCCGAGCCTTCAGTCTTGTGAAGGGCGACAGGTCGTCACAGGAGAAATAGTCAGGTACACAAGTTTGTAAATGGTGGTAAAGCGTATGGAGAAAAATTAAGCAGGAGACCTGGGAGGTCGGGGACAGAAGGCAGGTTTTAATGAGCTGCTCAGGGAAAGCATCCCCTGCAGGCAGCGAGGGGGGAGCACTGCGGCCCCCAGCACAGCCAGTGCAAGGGCCCCGTGGTGGAGCAGCCCTGGCATCCTTTTGAAAGGACTGGGAGTCCCGTGGCTGGGCGGGGAGCAGGGGTGCAGAACAGCCAGCCAGCACACTCAGGGTGTCCCGGACCCCATAGTTTCGGGCTCTGCTTCTGCTCTGAGTGAGGTGGGCAGCAAGTGCCGGTGGCTTTGCTCTGCAGCATCGCGTGTTTCCGTCAGGGAGCTGTAGCTCACCCAACCGGCTGTCCTCAGCAAGAATCCTAAATGTGAATGTTCTCAAATGCTTTTGTTCGGGGAGAAATAAAATTTATATTCTTACCAGCCTTTGAGTGAAAGTTACATGAAAGTTGATTGCTTTATATCTAAAACTGCACTGTCCCTAATTTTGTACCTTATAAAACAATGTAGCATTTCACTGAAACAGTACTGTTTGTTCTGTGTGTTTCATGTTGCTACAATAATTTCATAATAGCTTTTCTTTAGTTATTGTATATATGTGGTTGGTATTTTTTAAATTGTGTTTAGTTAATTGCATTGTGTTGGGCTCTGTGTCCGAGGCCGACCCCCTCCCCGCCTCTGCAATAGCTTGCAATTGTTTGTACTCACTGTGATCACTGTGCCTTCCAGACTTCGTTTCTCAGTTGCGAAAATCGATTTTAACAGCTGTTGTAATGCAGTTAAAATTCTATTGTGTTTTGTTTCTGTCAGCCTCCTCTAAAGTACTGAAGAGCATGTGCGAGAATTTCTACAAGTATTCCAAGCCCAGGAAAATCCGGGTGTGTGTGGGGACCTGGAACGTGAACGGCGGGAAGCAGTTCCGCAGCATCGCATTTCGGAACCAGACGCTCACCGACTGGCTCCTGGATGCGCCCAAGTTGGCTGGCATCCAGGAGTTTCAAGGTTGGCTTTTTTTTTTTTTTTAAAGATTTTATTTATCTTTATTTTCAGAGAGGGGAAGGGAGGGAGAAAGAGAGGGAGAAAAATCAATGTGTGGTTGTCTCTCACATGGCCCCCACTGGGGACCTGGCCCGCAACCCAGGCGTGTGCCCTGACTGGGACTCGAACCAGCGATCCTTTGGTTTGCAGTCCTCGCTCAAGGCACTGAGCTGCACCAGCCAGGGCTCAAGGTTGGCTTTTTACTGTACGGATGTAATTAGTAAATCCTGACCGGCTTACTATAGTCTAAAAACAGCGTGGCACTTCACAACCAGCATTACTTCATCAGAGAAGCTTGGAGTTTCATTTGAAGGCCAGCATTTTTGTAGATCAGATCTATTGGAAGCTCACATCCTTTTTATTCTTATATATTTTTTTCTACTTCATAAAAAAAAGAATGATAAAATAAAATACCTTTTCTTTGGTAATTTGATCTCTTAGGAAATAGGATCCCTACATAAATAAGTCCCTTTAAAGGAAACCACAAATTTTTATCTCTTCTAGTCGTCTTTCATCGTCACATCTTGAACCCTGGGGTTTTCCCCACATTTTTATTAAAATGCCCCTTTTCACGTTTGACCTTGAACCTAACTCGCAGTAGCAGTAATAATTGTAATAGAAACGAAATGACAGCTAACACTACAATTCTTAGTACTTCACACCTGTTCACTGAACCCTCTAGCGGTAGGCACCGTCAGTGCGGTCTGGTTTCACAGCCGAGGGAGGCGACCTGGCCACGGGCACGCGGCTGGTGGCGGCTGGTGGCGGCCGAGCCGCCTGGAGCTCTGGCAGCCTGGGTCCGGAGTCACTGTGTGGCACCGCGTCTTGGGCGGGACCTCGGGCCAGTGCCTTCTGCTCCAGAGCCTCCGTTTTCTGTCTGTAAATAAAAGGCAAGAATGATCTCACTCTGTAGTATCTGTGTGATAATTAGATGCAATGACGTATGTATGAGCCTTTCATATAATAGGAGTCAATAAATATTTTTATTTTTTGTTTCTCAGCATTAGTTCGCAGTATTTGTAGGCTCTTCCCAGCCACTGTTTATGCTCATTTCTGAACTAGTACTTGGGCTGCCCAAGTAACCCCGGGCTGTTTGTGGGGGCAGCCCCTGTTCTTCTTCAGTTCTGGTCAACCCCGAGAGAGCTGCTGGCCAGACCCGAGGGCGGTGTCCCTGCTGTGGCGTGTCTCCTGGTTTACTGGGCTGCATTCGCCCGTGAGATAGCAAACAGAGCCACGCCTGTGGTTCCCGAATGCCACTGGGAAGCCCCTCCCAACGGCTCGCTCTCTTTGTAGCTGGCTTCCGAGCCCTGTTCTCGTATGAGCCTTTTATGAACGTCCACTCGTCTGTCCACTCATCTGAGTGGATGTTTCCGAGCGCCCACTCTCCCTCCCCAGCGCAGATCAGCATCAGTCCTGGAGAAGTGGCTCGTTTCTGGCCGCCCATGGTGCAGATTCTTCAGCAGGAATCTTTCAAAATGGTTTCTGAAAGGACTTAAGGGTCTTCCAGAACAGCAGTCTTAAAGCAGCAATTTCAGGACGCCTGAATAGAAAGCCAATTTAAAGTAATTTTGCCCCACTCATGGGTTTTTGCCATCAGCTTCAGCTCGGTCAAACTCACGACAGAAAATGGGTTTTTATGAGAGCTGGTGCTGGTCTCAGTTGGGCTGCACGGGCTGCAGGCAGGGGCGCCATTTGACCGTGGCTGCATTTTAAAGTCTGTCTTGGATGCCTAATTGTAGATAAAAGAAGTAAGCCGACTGACATATTTGCGATTGGCTTCGAAGAGATGGTCGAGCTAAATGCCGGGAACATCGTGAATGCGAGGTGAGCCAGCGAGGCGGTGCACAGAGGCCCTCCGGGGACGGGGCCACAGGCGGTCCTCGTGAGACTGCAGACACCGGGGTGGTGCACGGCAAGGCCCCCTGCGGATGCAGAGTAGCGGTTCCCAAACTCCGGTACCAGGGTCTTTGCTGCTCTCTTAACACTGTGGAAAATTCTAAAGAACTTTGGTTTATATGGCTGTATTTCTTGATATTTATCACATTAGAAATTAAAGGTGAAAAATTTAAAACATTTAATTCATTATGAAATCATAATAGACCCATTACGTGTTTCCTAAGCAAAAATGTCCTGGGAAGGAGGGCAGTGTACGTAGTTTCCAGGTCTCCAACATCTAGCCGGAGACAGCTGGCTTCTCACCGCTGCTTCACCGGGCAGGTGTGATACGCTGTCCCGGCTGCGGCGTGTGTAGTCGGAGGCGGAACTACTACAGGAGGCTTTCAGACAGTCTCTTCCCTGAGACCACAGTGGAGCTCAACTCGTGGGGGGCTTCTTAAGCCCTGTTGCAGTGTGGACTCTCAGCCCGCAGCAGGGAGCTGTTCGTGCAGACCCCGCTTTCCGTTGCTCCACCGTCCCGGCGGTGGCACGTCTCATTACACCACACCATGGCGGCAACTGGTCGCTGTCATCGCTGATCGTATCAGCAGGTTCTAAGTATTTGGAAGCTGTCATGATCATAGCATATGCTAGCTTTCCAAAATTCTTGCTTTTGCTTAAAAACTCAAATTTTTTACCGTTGGAAATAAATACTATCATGTGTTTCCCTTGAAAAGATAGGATTAGTCAAAAAAAAGTGTTTGCTGAGTAACCTAAGTTTGAATACTAATTCACTCTGCGATTTGTCCTTACAAGTAAACGTCGTTTTCTGTGAAGAAAGTGGAAGTTCATCTCTCCACTCAAACAGTCAAGCGCTTTTCCAGGAGACAGGCGCCACATTTGAGGGTGCAGCAGAGGGCTTTGTGGGGTTCCCATTCATCACACAGTGTTAGAGGTGACTCAGGGTTGGACTCTGGCAGAGTCGCCGTTTGCTGCTCCACTGGGGCTGTCCCTGGATGAGGTGGCGTGTTTCAGGGGTGGGTGTGTGGCAGGGAGGACTGTGGTGAGCCCCAGGACAGTGGCACCTCCTCCTCTTCACTTTCACGCTGCAACAGGCTTCAGTCCACGTGGCGAGACGGACTGACGCTGTCTCACCACGGCCGTGGAGATGGCTTTGGGCTCCCGGGCATCGGGGACCCCCGGTCTCCCAGAGCAGCTCGAAGAGCTGCGGTGTGAAGCCCTGTGTCCAGCACCAGTGGCTTGCGTGGAACCCACAGCCTCAGCACTTCACCTTGACCAGGTTGCCTTCTTTCAAAGTCAAGCAGCTGCCCTCCTTTTATGGCATTTTAAAGATTTTCAGAATAAAATCATGAGCTGAAATAGTGTGGTATTGACCTTGCAAATGCCATTTTCTCTCTTTACCAGAGTAAGTAGCAGCAGCTTGTACCAGGAAGTAGAAAAGAAGTCCAACTTCGTTTTGCTGTTTGCAAAAATATGTTGACCACACAGTGGACGTTTAAGTGCGCTTTGCAGGTCCCCGGCTTTGGCGCTGAGCCGGAGTGCTGGCTCTTCCTCCGCACGGGAAGGACTATGTGCCCTTGAAATGTGCACAGAAGTTCGCTTGGGATAAAGGAAAACAAAGAGTGACGTCCTAGGGCATCCTTTTAGGTCCCTGCTACAAAATGGCTTAATTGCTTTCTAAATACAGTTTAATCAAATTGTTCTTTAGTAAAGTGATTTTTTATTCATTTAACCCAGGGGTCTCCAACCCCCAAGTCGCAGACTGTACCAGTCCGTGGCCCGTTAGGAACTAGGTCGTGGAAAAATTGTCTTCCATGAAACTGATCCCCAGTACCAAAAAAGTCGGGGACTACTGATTTAACCAGTATCTGTTGAGTACCTACTTGAGGTGCTAAAGATACATCAGTAAATAAAACCAACAAAAATCCCACCCTTCATGGACCTTTGGTTCTCGTGGGAAGAAACAAACAGACAGTAACTGCAGTAAGTGAACTCTGCGGCGTGTCAGGGGACAGGAAGTGCCATTCGGGGCAATCAGACATGTGGAGGGAAGGTCAGGCCTGTGGAGGAAGGGGTGCGGTTCTGAGTGGGTTGAGGGGAGGGCTCATTGACGGGAGGGCTTGAGGAGGGGCGGACGAAGGCGATGGAGGCCACCGTTCTGTGGGACTGTGGTGGGACAGAGGTCTCTAAGAGCCTCTGTCTTCTGGGTTTGTGTTTGGGGAGTGGGTACGGCCTAGCGTCAGGTAGATTCGACAGGTGGAAGTGAGCCATCAATGGGATTCGCTAATTCTGTGACCGGAACAAGGAGGAAAGCCGTTTTCCTTTCCTCCCCGTTAATGGGAGGTTCTCGTGCACAAACTTACCGCTCTGAGAGTCTATAGAGACCGAAGCATTTGTCCTGCCTTCTCTGTGTGAGCCGTGTTTCCTGGTGACTGTAAAGTTAAGAGTTCTTTATAGAATAATCCCAACTTACTACAAATGCCTGCGAAGTGCTGAAACTACAAAACCAACATTTCGCAGCCCCTAATGAAATAATAATCTGGGCAGTGGTCATCAGCAGATGCTAAAACCTTAGGAGGGAGAAGGATTAAAGGGGGAACTTTCTGTTATAGGGAGTTTGGATTGTCACCGCCCGAGCAGCCCATCAGGGGTGACGTCACAAATTGTGTACTTCCTGCTGTGAGGCAGGGTGACTGTCCCACCCACGAGGTGGTTTTACCAAAACAAATAAATAAAAACGCATGTTTCCTGAGCTCCAACACTGACCAGATTAAATCCAGTGTGAGGTGCAGAGGGACAGGTCAGGGTCCCCGAGGACATGTCAGCCAGCCCCCGGCTGTTCGGTATTTTACGGACTAGTGACCCAGCATCTTGAAATTACACAGGGGTGAGGAGGGTTGAAAGACAAAGATGAAGGGAGAGTCAAGAAACATGATGAGCAAATGCAATATGTGGGCTTTTTGTTTGGACCCTGTTCTAAAGAAACCAACCATGAGAAGACATGTTTTGGAAAAGAGGGAAATTAAATACGAGCTGAGCTCACATGAAGGCATTGTCAGTGATGTGTGTGTGACAGCGGCGTTGGGACTGTGAAGACGAACACATCCTCCTGCATTAGATGCGTCCTGAAGTACTTGCAGGCTGGTGGCATGTGTCTCAGGTCCGCTTTAGAACATTCCGGGTGTGCCCCCACCCAGAAGAAAAGACCGGCAAATGCTGATCGTTGTTGAAGCCGGGTGATAGGTGTGAATGGTGGTTTAGTTTATGATGGTCTCTTCTGTGTATATCTAAATTTCTCTGTAATCAGTTTTTTAAAGTATTATAATCCAGAAAAATAGGGAAAGGGCAGCAATGTGTCTGGGAGCATGTACTTCTCTGTTATCCTGGTGAACCCCTAAGGAAAAGGTAGGGTGTACAAGCGTGATTACTCATGGTGAACTCTCGTTTAAAAATAAGTAAGCTTAAAGTTCTTTGTGCAGAATTAGTAGGTGAGTTTCCGAAAAGTGTGTTCTTTGGGCTAAATTTTGGGTTTTCCTTCTTAAAGGAAACAAGAAACCAGCCTGCACAAAGATTTCCCTGTTGGTGTAGATTTCACAGCTGTTGGCAGGCTTATACTAAATTTGAGTGTGTGACCGTACCGGTGACACTTGTCCCACAAAATAGGCCCTCTCGTCACTGTCTTTTCCGTGCGCCCTGGCAGCACGACGAACCAGAAGCTCTGGGCGGTGGAGCTGCAGAAGACCATCTCCAGGGACAACAAGTACGTGCTGCTGGCCTCGGAGCAGCTGGTGGGCGTCTGCCTGTTCGTGTTCATCCGGCCGCAGCACGCGCCTTTCATCAGGTCAGTGTCCCCGAGGGCACGCGGCCACCTCCTGCCACCACACACCGGCAGGGCCCAGAGGGTCTGCTGCTTCGGAGACGCTCTTGTCCGCGGTTCTTGTTTTTCGGTGTGTTTTGATTAAAGAGTCACTAATGGACATTGTGAAAATAGCACAGTTTCACAGCTTGCCCTCCAGTGGCCACGTTATACATAGTTCTGAAACCTCGTAACATGCATTCCTAGTGTCTGGTACACAGGGAGCGGCCTACTGAAATCTCAGGTCTTTGTGTTAAAGGGACGTGGCGGTCGACACTGTGAAGACGGGCATGGGAGGCGCGACCGGAAACAAGGGCGCGGTGGCCATCCGCATGCTGTTCCACACGACCAGCCTGTGCTTCGTCTGCAGCCACTTCGCCGCGGGGCAGTCCCAGGTCAAGGAGAGGAACGAGGACTTTGCAGAGATAGTTCGGAAATTGAGTTTTCCTATGGTGAGCCGCTGCTGCACGCTTTCTGGGCTGAAGCTCCGAAACTGTCGTAATGTCCCCCAAATTCGCTGTCACTGCTTGAAGATCTGAGGTAGTTGTTCCTAGCGACGTCCACGGTGCTCCCCTAAATCGGTACTGCGTGCGTTTTCACTTGCAGGGCTGAGTAGACAGCCTGCTGGGGGAGGAGAGCACATCCGAGACCCAGAAATGGTTGTGACGTTTTTACAGTGCACTGATGGGGACTTAAAACCCCGCGTCCTTGCTTCCAGGGCAGGATGCTGTTTTCCCATGATTACGTGTTTTGGTGTGGGGACTTCAACTACCGGATCGATCTCCCGAACGAGGAAGTCAAAGAGCTGATTCGACAGCAGGACTGGGACTCTCTCACAGCGGGGGACCAGCTGACCAACCAGAAAAACGCTGGGCAGGTAGGTGGCGCTGGCCATGCAACGTGCTTTTTAAAACCACAGCGTTGCTTTCACCCTGGCTGGTGTGTCTCAGTGGCTTGAGCACCACTGGCCTGCGAACCAGTGGGTCACTGGTTCAATTCCCAGTCAGGGCACATGCCTGGGTTGCAGGCCAGGTTCCCTGTAGGGGGGCACGTGACAGGCCACCACACTCTGCTGTTTCTCTCTTGCTCTTTTTCTCTGCTTTCCCATCTCTCTATAAAAAAATAAATAAATAAAATCTTTTTTAAAAATCACGGTGTTGCTTTTTTCCCATCTTTTGGGGGTCTCTTCATGCTCAATAAATACTATCTGTAGCTTAACAGATGTAGAGTTACTGTGCCTTTAAAAAAAGGGAAAGGAAATTAAAACCCACATTAATTCCCAGGAGGAAAAATATATTATGTCCTCATAAGATTAACATTCAAGTAGAAGAAGAAACTTTTTCCCCAGTAATAGTGACTTTAGTCTCTGTCTTCATGTCTGCTGATTTTTGACCTGAAGACCCTGCGTAATATGCTTTATTTTTTCTTCTCATTTCTCACATCATCTGCCTTTTTGAAATGTTTGACCACAAAATTTTGGAAGAATCCGTGTAAGTTTTTCAGAGTAGAGGTGACTGTGGCTGCTCAGTACAGCGGCTTCTGGGCCCAGCCTCACTCCAGCCGCAGGCACCGCGGGCCTCTGTCGGCCCGGGGCCCCTGTGAGGCGTCAGTGCAGGGTCTTCCGGAGCCCCCTGGGTCTGTCTCTCCCAGCGCCACGGCCGGGTGTCCTCCGAGTGGCTCAGGGAGGGCCCCGTGTCCGGTTAGTGTCCTTGGGCTCTGCCCACTCGGCCTGGAGTGTCGGTCAGATGCGCATGCTCCGTGGGAGCGCCTCCCGCACGTCGTGGGTGTTGCAGGGTGGCTGCCTGGATGGAGACAGCTTTTTGCTTTTTGGGTGACGTATGCAAATCGTGTCCTCTGTGTGTGTTTATTGTAGATTTTTAGAGGATTTTTAGAAGGAAAAGTAACCTTTGCTCCGACATACAAATACGACCTGTTTTCTGAAGACTACGACACCAGCGAGAAGTGCCGCACGCCTGCGTGGACAGACCGGGTCCTGTGGCGGAGGAGGAAGTGGCCTTTCGACAGATCAGGTGTGGGGGGGCTTCCTCATTTCAGGGGGTCAGTGCGCGCTCAGGGAGGAGCAGAGGGATGCGGATGCCCAGTGGGGAGGACTTCCTGTTGATTCATGTTTACAGTTCTAATTCTGTTGTGCTCGTTGTGTTCAAGTAAGTTTATTGGGGTGACAGTGGCTGATAAGATCATGTAGAGTAGATCGCACCAGCCAGCGGCTCGGTTGGTTGGAGTGTCGTCCCATGAGGTGGCGAGTTCCGTCCCCGGTCAGGCCCTGCGGGAGGCAGCCGATCCATGTCTCTCACATCTGTATTTCTCTCTTGCTCTCTGCCTTCCTCTCTCTCTGAGGTCACTAGCAAGCAAAACAGAGACGGACTCGTAGGTAGAGAGCAGGCGGACAGCTCGTGTGGGCTGAGGGGCGGAGGCAGGGCAGGGACAGCAGTGCTGACTATGGGGGCGGCTACCAGGAATGAACGGTAATGCAAAAACACAAGAAAAACAAGCTATTGAAAAATGAAAATGCAAATGTACGGGATAATGAAATCAATGAAAAACACACCTCAGGTTAGGATTTTTGAAAAGACCATGCGGGTTCGCCTGCACAGTTCTACAACACATCATCTGTACAGCTGTGTGCCCGCCACCCAGAGTCAAGTCTTCCTTTGCCATGTGTGTGCCCCCTTTACCCTTTACTGTCTTTCAACAAAGGTTATCTAAGAATAAATTTAAATATAAAACAGATTTTCAAAAATATTCTCCAACTTGCTGTTTTTAAAAGATTTTATTGATTTATTTTTAGACAGAGGTGAGGAAGAAACATCTATGTGTGATTGCCTCTTGAGCGCCCTCTACAGGGGACCTGATGTATGCAAATCATGTCCTCTGTGTGTATTGTAGATTTTTAGAGGATTTTTAGAAGGAAAAGTAACCTGACCCTCAACCCAGGCTTGTGTCCTGACTGGGAATTGAACCAGTGACCCTTTGGTTCACGGGCTGGTACTCAATCCACTGAGCCACATCAGCCAGGGCCAACTTGCTGTTCTCTGTTGAATTATTTACCAAATACGATTTGGTCACAGGCTCTTAAGTGTTTTCAGAAGTAAAGCCTCCTTCATTTTTATTAAGTAAAGCATGAAGCAATAACCTCCCCAAGAAAGCCCCCCGTAAAGGCAGGCAGCCCTCCCGCCTGTCAACAGGCGCACGTGGCAGCCCGGCCTCCGATGATGGATGCGGGGGGGGGCGCGGCCTGTGCTCCCAGCCCCGTCCTGCTCACTTCCCTCCTCGCACGCTCTCTTCCTGCCACTGCAGCTGAAGATTTGGATCTTCTCAACGCGAGTTTCCAGGACGGAAGCAAGATCCTGTACACGTGGACTCCTGGCACGCTGCTGCACTACGGGAGGGCCGAGCTGAAGACCTCCGACCACAGGTCTGGAGCCCAGTGTCCTGCCCGTGCTTGACGCGTGTTTCCCAGCGCCTCTCCGCTGAAGCGCGCTAACGAGCCTCGCTTCCTTTTCACCCAAAGGCCCGTGGTCGCGCTGCTCGACGTAGACATATTCGAGGTCGACGCAGAGGAGAGGCAGAGCGTTTACAAAGACGTGGTCGCCACCCAGGGCCCGCCAGATGGCACCGTGCTGGTCTCCGTGAGCAGCTCTGCGCCCGAGCTCGGTTTTTTCGACGACGCTCTGATTGATGAGCTTCTGCAGCAGTTTACAAATTTTGGTGAAGTGATTCTCATAAGGTAAGTAAATATTTATTATTCGAGAGCAGCTCATGATTCATGAATCATTTTCTATACTAGAAATTACCTTATGCAGTGTTTGAGCAGTATATGAAGGTTTTTATTTCCAAACTTTGGGAAAATCATACTATAGAAATGTTATTCAGAGAGCTCATAGGTTTAAACTGAGTCCTCTGCCTAGAAAACTTAAAGGTGAGGAGCAAAACTTTACACGGACAGCTGGCGACCGGAACGTGCATGTTCAGATGCGCTCCCTCAAGTTGGCTGTGTGATGTAAGGTATGAGCCGTGACAAATCGCAGGTGTAATTGCGATGGTATTTTTTAAAGGAAAGTAAGAGTAAAGTGGAGTGATTTTTTCCCCCTTCCTCAGTTTAAGGAAGGCTACGTTTTGAGTAATTTTAACTCATAAGCCAACTAACGTCACAGGCCAACGAACACTCCATTCGAGCCTTGGTCTCCACCGCTGCCTTAACCACCTGCCTTCTGCAGAACCAGGTGCCTTTTCCGTTGTTCGGAAAAGGGTTCTCGTCCAAGAGGACAGCAGTTCTGAGACACGGAAGAGTGTGTACGGGTGTGAGCTCTGCAGCGAGGAGGTGCCACCAGGCTCCTCTCTGGTCTGTGTATCTGCTGGTCTGGGTTTGCTCCACAGCCGTTTGGGTCGGTGCTGGAAGAGCGGCAGCACAGTGGGAAGCTCGACTCCTGGCTGACCTGACCTGACCTGTTGGGGAAGGTGGGCGTGTGTGTGGCGGGGCCCTGCCTGGACCCGCGCATGCTGCTCCCAGGGCAGGGGGCTCTGGCAGAGTGGGGGGCAGGCCTGAGGAAGCCGGAGCCTTTCAGAGAGTGAGTGAGAAAATGCAAGGACACTGTGTTTAGACTTCCCTCTGGTCTTTTGACAAGGTCTTACCCTAAAGCCTTACAATGAAACAAAAAATCTCTAAAAATCTTAAGGCTTTAGGAAGTACACAGTGAAACCTCCCAGTTGGCAGATGACAGTAGCTTTGCCAAGTAGAGAAATGCCAGCCACCAGGGGCGTCACGCGCCTGCGTGCGTGGGCAGGAAAGCACAGAGAAGTGTCCTTATGAGCCAGTGTAACATGTTGCACTGAGCTAGGAGAGCACAGAGTGTACAGGGGGAGGGGAGGCTGGTGTGGGAAAAGGACCGGTCTGTCCCCAAAGACCGTGGTGATGACTTGGAGCCAGAAGCTTTCCCCTCAGTGCTTGTCATCCTTGGAAAAAGTATTGATGACCAAACGAGGCATCACCCCAACATAAAGCTGTGGGGTGCCCCCCACCAGGGATATGCTGGGTGTCACTCCTGTAGACAGCGAGTTGGGGGAGAAAAGGCAGACCGTGGAAGTGCACAAGGAGAGGACTCAGGGCACTGTGAGACTAACCCAGCCATCACCTTTCAGTGTGGAGCAGGACAGCCCCCAAGGGGTGGCTGAAGTGGACACTCCCTGCGGTAAGGGAGAAGCTCCCCGGAGATGTCAGTGGGATGACGTTGGATGCATGGAGGTGCTTGTCTCAATGCCAGGAGGCGGGGGGGTCTGGAAGCGTCTGCCCTAAGGAGTGAAAGGGGGAAGCAAGTACAGCTTCTGGAAGGACCTACAGAGAGCCATGGATGATGACGCCGGAACTGATGATGGACGAGTCGTCAGCCCCGCCCTGTGGCCACAGAGGATGCAGAGTACTGGGCGGCCGTGCAGCCTCGCACTCAGAGAGAGAACCCTCTGCCATCTGCAGGCGGGGGCCGGAACAGGCCCCCTTCGGGGTGGTGTCTGGGCGGGGATGACGTCTGTCTGCCTCTGAAACGACAGCGCCCTGCAGCGTCCTAGCCTGGCACCGGAGACACCGGCCATTTTCCAGTGGTCGCAGAAGTCGGTCCCAGGCCTCGGCTCACACTGGAGGAAGCGTTTGTGCGCGCTTTAGTTTCTGGCCTTTCCTCTTAAAATCCGTAGCTTGTACTTTTGAAGCCTCGGTTAAGAGTCGATGTGTGTTTGTACTCCTATACTTGTGAGTGTTTTCTCTCCTTTTTGAAAAATCTGCAGATTTCTGCCCTCGATTTACACAGTTGGGAGTATTTCGACCAATGAAATGGTTTCTATAGACAAGACTGCTAATGTTGTTTTAGTCGTTCGTGTGGTGACATCACTGCACATCAGTGACCATCATCTTCAGAGTTTATCCTGATGTCCTTGTTATTTTCTGTGCCTGGGATTTCTTCTTCCAAAACTGCAGACTCAGAATCCTAGCAAAGACCACTGCAGTCCCAAGGCAGGGAACGGCTGTCTGTGAACCAGGACTCGGACCCTGACCCAGGGCCTCCGGGGGGGGGGCGGGGGAGGTCTGGATTGGTGGGCTCAAATGAGCCCCTTTCTTCTTTCTTGGTCAGAGGAAGTGGCCTCAGGGGTGTGGCCGCAACAGCAGAAGTGCAGGGCGCTGGGCAGGGGGTTCGGGAGACGTGGGGCCCAGGCCTGTAACTCCTTTGCCTTGTAAGGTCACTTCGAACAAGCCATTTAAACTCTGGCCTTTTTTTGCCCCTTGTCAGTGACATGTAGGGCTGGACGTGCAGGGATCATAAACGGAGACCCACCCGCAGGCCCTGTCTGCTGGGTTAGCATGGTGCTTATTGGAAGGACATGGAGTCGGAAGCTTTGGGGAAGGGCGCCCTCTCTAGGCCAGCCCCTGCTCTGCTGCTCTCTCTTGAGTTTTTCTCTTCTGGCCTCCATGGGCCCTTGTTAATCAAAATCACTGGACTCGTCCCTGGGCTGCGGAAGTCTAAGGTGTAAACTATGTTCTGTGACTGTTTGTGTTTCTCTCTCCTGAAGGTTTGTAGAAGATAAAATGTGGGTCACATTTTTGGAGGGAAGCTCCGCCTTGAATGCTCTAAGCCTGAATGGTAAAGAGGTGGGTAGCTTTTGTTGACTCTCAATTCTCCTGTAATTGTCTGAGGGCTCCGTTTTCATAAACACGCAGCCAGACTGTCTGCAGGTACTTCCAGTTCCAGAGGATGGAGACTTGTGGAGAACTGTAGTGTCCGTCATTTAGGTTTCCGACCAGCTCAGGGTTATTTTGGGGCCCTTCCTAGAGATATTAACCGTTGATACAGGTTAAGAAGAAAGCTTGTTTACCACCTCATTTGACTTTATTCATCTTTATGTAAGAAGTTTAAGTTCACAACTGGGGTAGATATTCTGGCCCATCTATGTAGTAGATGAGTTGTATCAAATGAAGAAATGCTTTGTGGTCCAAGATACTGTAGTGGCTACATGTGCTGTCCAGTGGGTGCTGGACGCACCTGGGGTGTGTGCGTGTCTGATCCCTGCGTGGTGCACCTGGAACCACCATAACAGAATATTGAATGACAGCTGTCATTGAAATTAGAGATTAAAGTGGGTAATTCCCATAGATAATAAAGCCATTCCATTGAAGCACTTTAGAAATCATTGGTTAGTAGAGCTCTTCCTGACCTGTGATTTGAAATGTCATTGGTGGGGGACATTTGTGTCCATTGGACTGTATACGTCTGTGAAGTGCTGTCTCAGTTTCCTGTGCGTGCTTCCAGACAGACTGTAACGTCCGAGCACACGGCCACTGGACAGGGCGGGCGAGGACCCGGCCCGATGCCTCCGGTGGCGCCAGCTCGGCAAGGCTCCCCTCCGCTTCCTATCGGCCACATTGCTTCCGCTTCCTTGGAGGACGAGTTTCCACACGTAGTTTGCTTTTGAAATAGGTTTTGTAGTGTCTCGTTTGTTTTTCCCCGAATGTAATGATACTCGTGCAACAATAACTCGAGAAATACAGGAAAAGGTAAGGAAGGAAACCATGAGGACCACTGTGAGCTCACCATTTCAAATGGTTCTTCTCAGCCTTCACATGTACACTTTGTATGTCCATTAGAAAAAGCAGTATTCCATATACACATATCGACACAAATGAAACACGTGCACACATACACACACGCCCAAATGCACGTGGGCTCATGTTGCGTATGCCGTTTCTCATGGTCTCTTTTACTTGAGACTATCATGGACATCTTTCTAGATGAACAAATATGCCATCATTAGTGACTGCTTTAGTTTTGTTATGTGGGTAAATATATAACTTTATTTAACCCAACTCCTACTAATAGTTTCCAACTTTTTTTTTAGATTTTATTTATAGACTTTAGACAGAAGAGAAGGGAGGGAGAAAGAGAGGGAGAGACACATCAGTGTATGGTTGCCTCCTGCACGCCCCCTACTGGGGACCTGGTCTGCAGCCCAGGCATGTGCCCTGACTGGGAACCGAACCGGCAACCCTTTGGTTCGCAGGCCATCAGTCGACCACTTAGTCACACCAGCAGAGCAGAATGTCTCCAGCTTTTAATTATGAGAGCCAGCATGCTAGGGAAGCCGCGTGTGCACTGGAAGCTGGGTCCCTGTCCCGTTGTCCTCGGGATGACGTCCTCGGTGCAGACGTGCCGTGTCAGAGGGCACAGTGAGCGGCGGGCCCGTTGTTGGGTTGCTCTTCAGAGAGAATGTGTCTGCTTGCACGGTGCCTCGGACCACCTGCGACCCAGCATCCCCCTCGGTCCCGTTGGACGCTTCTGTGTGAAGGGTGCGCGTGCCGGCTTCGCTCTTGAATCTCTGGCACCGCACCTCTCTGATGAGCTGCTGGTGTCTTCAGCCACCGTCCCACTGGGGCTCACCCTTAGAGGCCCATCTGGTGTGAAAGGCGCCCCGCCTTCTCCGTGTGTGCTGCAGAGACCCATCCCAGCGTGCCTGCCGTGTGACTGTCGTGTCGTCACTGTGTGGAAATGCCCGGTTCGTCGGCGTCACTCCAGCTTTTGCCTCCTACGAGGCCCTTCCTCGTCCCCTGTGAGGGTGCAGAGCGGCTCCTGGGGCGGCATGTCCAGCCAGCTTTGATCCCCTTTCTAGGTTTCTGTTTGTCTTTCCTGGTAATTTGATTTCCCCTCGTTTCACACTGTTTTCACTGTATTTTCTCCGTCACCAGGTATCCCCAGGGCCCTCTCCCACCTCCCCCTGCCCCCCGCAGTCACAACTGTGTCACACCCATAGTTCTTTTCTCCCCTTTTTTCTTGATCCCTCCACCCCCCACCAAATCCTCCACCCCTCCCCTGCCAAGCTGTCAGTCTGCTAATTCTCCTTGTCTTGTTCTTCCTTCTGTTTGCGGTGCTGTCCCTCGCTCTCAGGTCTTGTCCCCGTCACAATCAGAAGTGTCTGCACAGGCCCTTTCAGGGGGTTTCGGCGTGTGTAACGCTGTGTTTCTGGGGATCGTGCAGAGCGTGCTCTGCCCTTTCGAAGCAGTTGTGTTGAGTGGAGTCTGGCTAAACAAAGCCCATGTGCCCAAGGCGGTCAGTTTGTTCCCAGATAGTTAATTTCCATACTGATGTGTACATCCTCTATCTCTTTTATTCATCCAGTTACTGGGCCGGGCTGTGAGTATCACTTTAAAAAGTCCCGACTGGATCAAAACTCTGGAAGAAGAAATGAGTTTGGAGAAAACCAGCGTCCCGCTGCCGTCGTCCACCAGCTCCACCCTGCTGGGCGAGGACGCGGAGGTCGCGGCTGACTTCGACATGGAAGGTGTGCCGCCAGACTTGCTTGCTCGTGTCCTTCCCTCAGTCTCCAGGGTCACCCTGGTCTTTGCCTGTCACATGCGTAGCAGCATTAGATTTGGGTTTGCGTTGTACCTAGACTTCACATGTACTAGCCACTCTGCCGTTCGAAGGTTAAGATCCTTGCCAGTGTTAGTTTATGTCGGTAGGCGAGGAGAGAACAGGGCGCAACTGTCCTTTGAATTAAATAGCATGAAGGAGGCGGCTGGTGACATTCACAAGAACCACTGATCACAGCAAGGAGCCAGATGGTGGTGGACTGAGGTGTGGATGGAGGTGCAGAAGCAGGGTGAGTCTGTGGACAACTTTAAAGAAGTTTGTCTCAGAAGCAGGTGGCACAGAACCCATTTGTCCCACCCACAGGAAAAGGAATGCCAGCCACAAGGTTGGACGGCAGCCGGGGGCAGGCTGTGGCAGGGGTGCCACGCCTGAAGACTGGTCTCTCCTCTGGGAGGGGTGCGAGCCAGGGCATCTGCAGGAATGAGCCAGCCCATGGTCTCCGAGGGGTTGAGAGGTTCGAGAGACCACTCAGGGTAGGGGCGGCCCGGTGCTCTTGGAGCCCTGCTACAGCTGGGAACCACAGGTGGCATGGGACCACCGTCAGTGGGTCATGTGGTTTCTCTAGCATCGCCTCCCCAAAGCCCGCAAGCAGTTGGGAGAACGAGGTGGTGGCCTTGATGCAAAGTGACGCAGGGGGACGGGCGAGGAGTGCAGCACAGGCATGGTGGAAGGGCAGGACCCGGACTCCGAGGATCGGTGCAGAGAGGCAGACTGGACGGGGCAAGCGTTCAGGAGTCACAGGCGGGTCCCAGTGAAGTCACCAGGAGAGAGAGCCTGGGAGGCAGCAGCTGGCAGGAAGGGAGGGTGGGCGTTTGTCATCTCAGAGGGGGTGTGGGGCAGGGTGGAGCTGCAGGTGCTCCCGCTGTTGGAGAGCGCGCCTGTGGCTCTGGTGTCGCCCGGAGAGACGCCACTCACTGTCTTGCTCTCTGGCTTGTCCTCGGTGGGTGGGCTCGGTTTGGAGTGAGGATGTGTTGGAGAATACGGCAGCAGGGGGACATGGTGGGTGTTCAGTGAGTTCTTGTGGCACAGCCCCAAAGCAACAGGCCTTTTGTCCGTGAAGGTTCGTGTTCTGGAATTCAAATTAGGTTCCGAGGGGACAGGCACCCTGGCCCCACCTTCCAGTCCTGAGGTCCAAGGTCCAGAGACGTGAGGAGACCTCAGGGAGAGCCAGCGCTCAGAGCAGAGACGGCCGTGGTGGGTGGGGCGGGGCCCAGGGAGGGGAGCCGGGAGGCTTCGGGAGGGTGTGTGGGCACAGTGCCCCAGAGTGACAGGAAGCAGCCCCGGTGGAGTGCAGAGCGCCCTGTGTCCCCTGGGTGGGCTGTCACCGAGGCCTCCTGCTGCCCTGGGGGTGGGGAGAGGGTCCTCGGTCACATTTCCTCAGGAGCAGGGCTCTGACCCAAGGTCTCTGCACACGTGTCTGTCTGTGCCACCTGCTCAGCCTGGGCGTGTTTTCAGAGCCATGGCAGGACCGTCTGTGTTTCGTGTGTAAGCCCTTCGAACTGGATTGGTGGGAAACCCTCCGAGAAAGGGACAAAGGCGGTCACCCATGTCACCTTGCGTCTCCTCAGGCGACGTCGACGACTACAGCACCGAAGTGGAAGAGCTTCTGCCCCAGCACCTGCAGCCAACCTCGGGGCCTGGCCTTGGCACGTCGCCCAGCTCTTCGCCCCGCACCAGCCCCTGCCAGTCGCCCACCATAGCAGAGGGCCCTGTCCCCTCGCTTCCCATACGACCCAGTCGGGCAGCGTCCAGAGCTCCCGGGCAGCCGCCTTCCCAGGGTGCGTATGGTATTGGAGGTGTGCGGCTTCCCTTTGTGTGATGTCCAGTGGTCAGGCCTCTGCGCCTTCAGAGGACCGTGAAGGGCCGCCTCGGGCCATGTTCCCACGTGCCAGAGTGGGCTGCAGGCTTGTGCGTGCGGAACAGGGAGCTTTGCAGGGGATGAGCCCTCTGTGGAAACGAGCTCACCCCACTTTCCTGCCTCAGCCTTTCCCTTCGCCCTTTCCAGTGTGGTCGGGTGCGTCCCTTCGAGTCACCACTGATTTCGTACTGCCACAGTGGGGAGCCACGCCATTGGGCTCAGCTTTAATCCGGGCATCACCTCTGTTATCGTAGGAAGCAAGGAGAGACCAAACGAATTTTTTAATTGGAATTCTAAGTCATTACTCCCCCGCATTGGAAGCTTTGTCATCAGAAGCTGTGTCCGTCACATGAATAAGTCACTGTTCCATGCTAACCAACATCTTCAGAAATACCTTTGTTTCGTAACTGTCTCAGGCTCACCCATACTACTCTTAGAGGGTGGCTGCATTGCATGAGCCCGGGATAAGCAGAGGCATAGAGATAAGTAGATCCCTTCCTCTCTTTTCTCTTTGTGGGTCAGCAAACTGCATGCAAAGAACATAATGCCTTGTGCCCTCTTCACAGGACCCCTCAGTGAGTCCCCTTTGGCCCCTGGGGCCTAGGGGCCCGGTCCACACTCAGCCAGCACTGTTGCCTGCAGGGACCAAAGGGCCATGTATTGGCAGAACTGTTTATGTCACTGACACTAAAAGTGCGTGTCAGTTTGCTGCAGTACAAATTGAGAAAATTAGCAGAACAGAGGCTTGATCGTACACGTGTAGAAAGCACTGTCCCTCTGCGCTCTCACCCACCTGGAGACTGCTCTTCTCACCCCAAGTACTTTTCTAGGTTCTCCAGTTGAGGCTCAGCCAGCCTCACAGTCGCAGCAGAAGGACGCTCCGCAGGTCTTGGAGCCCAAGCGGCCGCCTCCGCCCCGCCCCACGGCACCTCCTGCACGGCCCGCACCCCCCCAGAGGCCGCCTCCACCTTCAGGTAGGTAGCAGGCCATTCTGTCCACCTCCTCTCCCAAGAGCCCTCCTCCACACGGCATCAAGTGCTTTGCATGCTCCGCATCTCCAGCTTCTAGATGTTACTGTCTTTCTATCATTGCCACTTCCTCAGCTTTTCTCTGCAGAACAAGGTAGGCTCAGCCGCAGGTAAGGAATGTTTTCTGCTGGCTTTCCATGCTCTCTTCCCAGTGCTGCCTCCGTACACATGTGCTTGAAGTGTTGTGTCGCTGCTGCTGATTCGGTGTCGTCATCCTGACTTCTGTTAAATGTATACTGAGGCCTAGACAACATACATGTACTTACTGTAAAACATGTTTGTTTAAATGGTCTCTAAATGAGCATGTGTTGTTACTTCAGTTATTAGAAGCATGCAACTGTTGCTTCCATAGTGGATTTGATGGTAGCTTTCTTGTAATAACACCAGGAGACTCCTGCGGAGTCCCTGCCTGGGAGCTGACATCTGTGATGACTGCTGGGGTGACTCTGTGGCATTTCATTCTCTCTTGTCACTTCCTTTCTGCTGCAAATGTTCTTGTGGACTGTCAGGTGCTAGGAGTCCCGCACCTGCTAGAAAAGAATTTGGAGGTAACCGTTCACATTTGTTACAACACGCGCATCCTTGTTCCTTGATGTTGTGCGGTTTGGTCCCTACAATTGAAAGACGTTTTAGGTTTATTTGAAGTCACAGTGAATGGCATGTATGTTTTTAATAGCTCCAACCTTCCTCAGTAAAAGCTTAGAGTTTGGTTTTACTGGCGAATGGAACCAGCAAAGACCCCCGTTTCCCTGGCAGACTTGGTTGGGTTACACGTCCAGACCGGATACATTTTTTGTACTAAATGGAGTCAGCTTGGCTGCAAAGACTTAACCCCCCAAAGCATATTGATTTGGAAGGGGCTGTGGCCCAGTGACTGTCCCAAGTACTTGCTGGGTGGTGCTCAGTCCAGGAGCGCAACGCGTGGGGGGGGGCAGGCTTTCCTGGGGTGCCGCTCACAGTGGCAGTGACGGTCGGCCGAAATGGCATCTGGTCACAGAGCCTCATTTTCCTAAATATGAGAGCAATTGTGCGGCTTTAATGCGGAAATATTTTCATTAACAAATGAATCCCTTGTTGAAAGTGTGGTGTATCTGATTCCTACGAAATCCCAGAAGGCTCCGTGGACGTGTAGATTCGATGGCTCCATCGTCCCCCCATTGCAGCCCTGGCAAACATCGCTAGACGGAGCCTGGCCCTGGCCTTACAGGGACGTCACTGTTTTCTGTTTCAGACCCTGCTTTTGTTTCGTGTTCTTGGTAATTCTCTTTCTCTTGTCCTTTAAGTAGGCAAACAACTACTAGAAAATAAATTTTTAATGAATTTGTGAAAAGGTGTATCACATTAGTAACTCTGCGACTTACTTAGAAATCTGATTTAATCTTTAAAAATTGCCTGACTTCATAACTCTTTTCTAGGTAGTATCTGAAGCGTGTTTGTTTTTTTACCCTGTGAACCAATAACTCCTTTAAGGCAGTAAGCTTTGAGAAACTCATTATAGTGCTTTTTGAGTTTTTTTTTTTAAAGAATGCAGCAAAACTAACTTCTGAGAGACTAATACATATAGTCTCATAGAAATTTAAAATGAAATCCAAACTACTATTATTTTCCTCTTGGCTGTCAAGCGTCGGAGCTCTTACTAGAGATGTAACTCTGAACATAAGGAGTGCCCAGCCCCCAAAGGCGAGGCTGTCACCAGACTGGTCCCTGCTCTCGCTCTCCTCTTCGTGGTAGAAGGGCAGGGCCACCTGTTCCTGCCCCTCTCTTGGGAGGGGGGGGTGGACTAGTGGCTGAAGTCACATTGGCTTGTACTGATACATTGGAAGAAACTTAAAGTAGACTAAGAACCTCTTGGCAGAAGCGAGTTTCATGTGGAAATGGTCGCGGTGCCTGCCTGGCAGTCCGAGCTGCGGGCCCTGAACACCGTGCAGCTTCTGTTCTTTCTCCAAAAGGTGCTGGAGCCCCTCCCAGCCCCAGGGCGGCTAGGCGGGAGATGGAAGGTAACAGCCCTGTGTGTCGTCACCGCCCTGGTGTTCAAGGTCCAGCCGTACACCGCCCTCCCCCGCGTGCACCTGTAACCTTGTCTCTTCCCCCCTTTCAGTCTGCGTTGTGGGTGTCCGTTCAATTTCCCTGCAAGTCTTACGTCGTTTTATGCTGTTCTGTATATATTTCATGTATACTTAGCATGTGAAATGACTGTACAATGTTATTTTAAGGAAAATACCTTCAAAACTCTCTTCAGAATAAGTCAAATATTTAGAAATGTACTGTACTAACTCTGAAGCTGTACTAATTACAAATAAGCCCTGTTAACTCAGATCGCAGAATTATCAATGAGCGATCTCAGAGACCGTGAACATCTCTGTACGTGGTAACGCTGAACTGAGTTTGCTGTAAGGACCATTAAGCCTCGAAGCCACGCACTGAGGTGGTAGTCGTTAAAGGCTGGTGTGTTCCACATGGCAATTGCACTGAATTCCTTTCAAGAAGAGGAAGTCTGAGAAGCTGCATTTACTGGTCCCCCATTCCTTCCTTTTGTGCTTCACCCCCTCTCTAAGGCGTGTGGCCCACACGTTAACGCTGTCTTGCTTCAAGCAGGTGTTCAGCGATCAGCCATGCCTCCCTTCTGCCGTGGCCTGGGACTTTGTGACGGGAGTCCCAAAGAGCTCATCCCAGGGTCCCTTCCTCCCCTGAGGTGGGCACAGCTGTAGTCCCAGAGCCGTGTGGTCGGGATCCTCTGCTTGACCTGGAAAACGCCACTGCGGGTTCAGGGGCAGCTAGTCGGTCGAGCTCTCGAAGAGCAGGTGGGCCCCACCTGTGGGCATCCCCAGGAGCTGACCATTTGTTTTCAGGGCTCACAGGGGAGAGCTCTTGTTGGGAAAGTCAGCTTAAGAACGACCTGTGAGAGATGCATCAGGCTGAGGGCCAGCTTGTCTGCCACCAGTGTCCCTCTCAAGTGTCCAGAGTGTCCTCTCTCTGGGGATGTCTCACTCAGGACTGAGACTCCCCTCAACCATCACCCACAGCAAAGTCCTTTGCTACCATCTCGGGCTCCATTCGTGCTGCTAAAGAGACAGAAGAGCCACCCGATATTGTACAATGTCGCTGTGTTGTTCACTTGTGACCAGTTATTTTTCCTTCCTGCTTCAAAGCTCCCAAAAGCCCGGGAATGACACGGAGAGATAACATAGGTAAAAACACTTGACTCGAGCCTCTCACCTTGGCCCTGGCCCGTGACTAGCTACACACTTGGGGCGGGAGCATGGCCTCCTCTTTGCGCTCCCTGACCGCCTGCTTTGCGTCTCTCTTCCAGGACACAGCCAGCCTTCGCCTCCCACAGGACTCGCAGGCCCGGCGCCTGCTGGACCCAGCACCAGCAGACCGGTAGGCAGCCCCGGCCTGGGCTCCGGGGCCCAGCTCACTGCCAGGCAAATGTGTTACCCTGGAGAAAGCAAGGGACCTTCAGGGCCTCCACGTCTGTGAGGGGGGAAGGACTCGGGCAGCTTTTCATCCTGTTTTCTCAGTAGCTGATGAGGACCTGAAGTCCTCCTTCAGTAAGAAGAATTCTAAAATGAGACTTCCGGAGGAAGATGTATGAGAGAGTGGTTCCTGAACCTGGTCTCACGGGGTCGGAGGTCGGAGCACAGAGGGGCGCAGGGGTGTCCCTGTGTGTTCATCCTATGCTGTCTCACACGCACTGAGCAGTACTCCCGGGTGGAAGTGGTCCCTGGGGTGTGAGTCGTTTAGAAAAAACACAGGGGGGGGGGGCCTGGGATCCAGTCGTCAGTGATTCCGGCTAGTCTGGTGGCCCTGCGAACCCCAGAGGCCTCAGCTGAAGGGCAGGCCCTGTGACCGTCGTAGAAGTGAGCAAACTGCGTCTCCCAGAACCACTTCCAAAGTCTAGTGAGTCGTTCTCATGAAACTTCCAGGGTAGAAATGCTTGTCTTCTGTCTCGTAGCTCCATTTAATGTCACCCAAAGGGCCTTTTCCGTGCGCAGCATCACGGTAGTGCCCGCGGGGCGGTCCCGAAGCTGCCTGTCCCCACTCCAGCTCTCAGGACAGACATTGCCGTTCACTGGCTCCACCTCACCGCCCAGGGCGCCTTTCTAGACGCCACCACTCTGGGACCAGGGAAGGGAAGGCAGGGCCTGCGTGACGGCACTCGTCACGTGTGTGTGACCCGAGGGCTGCCGGGGCTTCAGAGCCCTCAGCAGACGTGTGAAAGCGGACGGTGTGGTTTTCCGCAGCACGCCTTCCAGTGTCTGCAGTTCACCAGGCCAGGTTAGTCATTTGAGAGTCCTTACCTCTGTGTCAGTAACACAGTCCACGTGTGGATTTTGTGACCCTCTTAGCTGCTCAGTGTCCACGTCTCTGGGTCTCTGCGTCTGCGGTGAATGTGGCCACCTGGCCTGAGGTGGCAGGAGGGCCCTGTGGCCCGTCACGCCTGTGTTTGGGCCCAAGCTGTACAGCCTGGAGAGGCCGTGCCCGTGCCTCGGTCTCACTGCAGATGGAGACAATAAAATCACAGCGGCCTCAGAGGGACGGTTTGGAGATGAAACGCCTGCACAGCAGGCTGACGGACACAGTGCCTGGCACACAGTCCCCAGTGAAGAGTAGGATGGAAGGCTCTAGAACTTCCGGAGAGCCAGGTGGAGAAAGCAGTCGGCACGACAAGAGGGGAAAACACCAGAGCGAGGTGGACCGAGATGCAGGGGTGGGCTTTGTCACAGGCCCTCCTTGCCGAGCGTGAGTGGCCGTCTGAGACATGTGCTTCCTTCCCACGCAGGTGATCCCACCCCGTGCCGGAGTGATCAGCGCCCCGCAGAGCCACGCCCGGGCCACCGCCGGGAGGCCGGCTCCCGAGAGTCAGAGCAGACCCTCGGAGGGCCCGAGAGGTAGGCTCCGAGCTGGAAATGTTGGCGTGAGACCCCCGAGCCTCCTGGCAGCCCTCAAAAGGGGGGGTCCAAACACGGTTTCCCAGAAAAACCTGACACCTGAAAATGGCTTTCCAGGTCCAGCCCTTCCTGAGCCACTGAGGCCCCAGGCCACCCCGCCTGCGCAGCCCTCCCTGCCCACGCCTGTTCCAAAGATGCAGGAGCCCCTCGTCCCCACGGCCGCGCCCCTGCCACAGGCTGCACCCCAGCCCGGCTTGGAGACCCCTCCGCAGCCGCCGCCCCGGAGCAGGTCCTCCCACGGCTTGCCCTCGGACCCCCCGGCCCAGCTACAGGCGAGTCCTTTGAAATCGTCAGCTTTCACAAGACAGGAATTTCTTTTGTGTTTGCTTTTTGGTAGTAATAGCATCATAAGATATGACTTCAGTGGTTGCGCGTCATTCGACGTGACATGTCAGACTAGGCACGTGACAAACACAGGTTTGAGGGTTTGGCTTTCTTCTTTAACCTGCTGCTCAGAGCAGGGATTCTCCGAGAGGGAGCCCACAGGAGGGTCCTTCGGGGCGTTTGCAAGCGGCTCGCTGGCTCGAAGTCTCCGTGTGGGCTGTGAGTGCGTTGGGGTGGACCACGGTGGTTGTTCCTCCTCCTGCTTCTGCTCACAGCTGAGAACTGGGTTCAGGCTTTCACTGCCGGAGAGAGGCAGTCCGATCACTCCTGACCCTTAGCCATGTGGCCTGTTTCCGGAAGAGCAGGTAACCCTGTCACCCCTCCCGATGGGAGCTCAGTGCTTCCCTGTGGTGGCGGGGAGGCTCCGGGCTCCCCAGGGGTCTCAGAGGACCCGTCACTGCGGGGGGCTTGGGCGTGTGACTGCAGGCGTAGTCCGAGCAGCACAGACCATCCAGGTGCTGCCACTGTTTGGCGTCACACAGAAAACTGCGCCAGTGCTGGGTCGGGGGTGGGGGGGCATGAGGTTGCAGGGACCGCTGTCCTGCCGGAGCGCTCTCCCGTGGGGGAGACCCCGAAGGGGGTGCGGGACTATTTCCACACAGAAGTGACCATGTGAGCCAAAGTGTTTTAACTTTTCTTACGTCCTTTACGGCAAAGTTATAAAAACACACTCTTTATTAAGTACATTTTTTGTCATCTGGTCTTACATTTTATTTTATCCTAAAGTTTTAACTTGGAACTGCCATCAAGGCCAAAGAAGAGTGTAAAGTTTTACAAGTGCCTTTAAACGGTGGGAAGACCTGAAGTGCAGGAGTATGACATGTTGGCGATGCCCCCGAGACACACCTGTGAGTCGCGCTCAGCACTGGCTGCGCAGGTGCCAGAGTGTGTCTGGCTCGCTGGCAGGAGTTAAGGTTGTGCTTCTGCACAGTGAAAAAATGTCAGACGTGACTCTTAACACGGTGTGAATGTGGTTAGCAGTTAGCGTTTACTCAGACTGTTGGCCACATTTGTAAAAGCTGAAGAAGGATATATAATCAAGAAAAAAATAATACGTTCTCTTAAGCTAATTAATACCAAAAAGTATTCTACGTTTTTCAGAAAGTTGAGGATCCTAAAGATACGTAATTGTCTACTCTTCTTTGCTCACTGAGACTTTCAGTGAGTCATGAATTTTTTTCTCTCTTTTCCTTCTAAGGTTTACAGTTTTATTTTTAAATGTAATGGGAGGGCAGAAACCTCTCCAACTAGCCTTCGCGGAGCGTTCTGTGGTTGTGTCGGGGCGGAGGGCGAGCACTCGTTTCAGAAGGAAACGGGGCCCAGCCCCTAGAGCCCCATCGCAGCTGCGTGCTCCGGATGCGTTCTCCGAGACCAGTGCGGCAGTGGGCGGAGCAGACTGGGCGGAGCAGACGCAGGTCCCAGAGCGGCGTGCGCTCGTTCTGGTGTTGACAGGTCGTTGTGGCCACTGCTCCTGGTGGGGCCCATGTGCCTCTGGTGAGAGGGACTCCGCTTCGCAGCCCCTCCCCACGGTGGCTGGTGAGGGCCCCTGTGGAGTGTAGGCTGCAGCTAGTGGTAGAGACTCACCTTGTGACCTACAACCGCGACAGGATGAGGAGGAGCGTTGTAGTGACGGCCGTTTTCCTGGGTCCTTTCTGTTGTTTTGATTTCCAAATTCCAGTGGGACCGGCGTGGTGACCTGGTGGTGGGCAGCACAGGCCACGTGTGTGGCCTGGTGGGTCGGGCTGTGATCTTGTAGTCAGTTCGTTAAGGGTAGCAAAGACGTTTGCTCAAATTCTCGATATTCTTTCTGCCTTGGCCTTGGATAACAAATTCCTCTGAACGTTATATCTAGACGCACTCTTCTTTTGGGGGGTAGGGTCTTGTCATGCACAGACCGAAGGCTGCAAAGAGGCTCCAGGCTCTTCCTGGGCGGGCGTGGTGCTGGCAGGCTGGAGGGCGGCAGTCTTCTTCCTTTTCTTGCCCTTGAACTTGAACCGTGAGAGTCATGCCTACCCAACAAAACAATAATAAACATTTAAAATTTTATAAACCTTCTGCGGTGGCACTAAGTTTAAAAGGATAAAATTTTAAAGTATGACATGTTTGATATTTTGGTAATAACATGAAATAGTCTTAGAAGGGAACATTTAGTAATTTTGACATGTCTTTCCTAATTCTGCCCAGAATCTGAAAGGTATTTGAAACAAAAAAAACACACATGACCCAGCTTTCCTTTTTATTACTATTTAAGTGTTTTTGACTCTGTAGTTCTAAACAGAAAAGACTTTCAATTCAAATGATCATATAACATGCTTTGTGTCCTGGATGAACCGCAAACATGCCCACATGTCTGCCTGACGCAGTCAGCATCGGTCATCTGATGTCACCCAAGAGCCGGAGTCAGGGCTGCTGAGTCAGGGCTGCTGAGTCAGGGCTGCTGACGCGTCAGCTGCCGCGGGTGACGCCAGCATGCTGTATCTGGGCGGCGCGGCCTCTTCGTTGTAGCGTGACTCGTTCCCCCACGTGTGGGCGCCACGCGGAGACGCGGGCCCTGAGGGCCTCCAGAGGGCGCCCGCCGGCTGACGCCCAGGAGTCTGTGTGCAGGGGCAGGGAAGTCTCGTAGCTCCTAATTAGAACGGTGTCTCTCCGAGTTGTCAGAACGAGTTTCGGCATTTTAAGGTAAGGTAAGTGTCAGACATTGGGGAAGATTTGCTCAAAACCATTTCTTGAAAATACTGTGTTGAAAGTACTGCTTTATTATAGAGAGACTATGGTGTCACTTGTTAAAACGGCGAACATAGGGTCCAGGTTTCCACCATATTGTCCCTCCTTCCCGCTGACCTTCTAGGAGGTGAGTTAGGACATAGCGCCCTTCAGAAAACCCGGGCGCCGTGGAGGCAGCAGTAGTGAGGCGGAGACGGACCGTCAGCCAGGCCGCCAGACGGTCTCACTGGGCTCACTGTTCTCACTCTGCGCCTTCTCCCCAGGGGCGCGGAGCCCACAGGCTCTGCCCAGGCCGTGTCCTCCTCTCCTCGGCTTGGAGAGGAAGTTTGTGTTTTCGCTGTTCAGGGCTGCAAGGCCAAGATCGGGAGGGGGTGCCGGGGGTGGGCTCTGACCGCTGTCCCCCTGCCTGGTGGGCGGGGGGCCTCCTACTGTGGCCTGTCCTTGGTGCCTGGAGAGGCAGCAGGCCCTCGGGGTGGATTCTCCCAGGGCGGAGGCCCCTGGTAAGGGGCCCACCCTTGTGACCCCGGTCAACCCCAGCCCCTCCCAAAGGCTCCGCCCCCGAAGCCACACCCCCCTGTGCGGGTTAGGGCTTCAGTGTGGGAACTGGGGAGGGACACAAACCCTCCGTCCATACCGGGCGCTTTGTGTGTCCTAGAGCCTCGGGCACCCATCTAGATTCCCGTCTTGGGAATGACAGCACTGTGAAGCCGCTGGTCAGTAATCAGCCTCAGGCAGGGTTCACCTCTGAGCCCCTGTTCCGTGACACACTCGCCGTCCAATGGCGAAAGACCCTGGAATCATGGCTTGAACTGGGGCTGGGACCTGCGGGCCTTGGGGCTCTCAGATTGTGTGTGGTCGGGGCTGCGAGTGGCGGGGCTGTGGCGTCGGGGTTACTGGCTGGTCTCGGCCGCCTTCTAACGCTGTCCTTTGATGTCTGTGTCCCTTTCTCCGAGCAGGAGCCGCCGCCCGGTCACAGGTACTGGACTGTCTCACAGTCTTCTCCATGCTTCTTGTCTGTCTCAGCACGTGGGATGTATGGTATCTCACATCATACATCCCAGCCCCGCCCATTCTCCCGACCGCCTGTCCGAGTTCATGAATTCCGTTATCATGCCATAAACCTGCTTTTCTGTTTTCTTAGTATTCTGGATTTTTAGGAACCATTTTAGTTGGTCTTGCTAATACTTTACCATATTTTGCTTCGTTTTATTTTTTCATGAAAATTAACAAAACTAAAAGTTATAACTTCATTAAGGTAAGCTTTATGTATGTGAAAGTGTTTTGCAAAACTGATTCTTAGAATAATTAATTTTTTTCTTAGGTTTCTTTTAGAAAAATTTTTTTCAAACAATTTTAGTTGCAAGGTCCTTCTGGTAAGGGAAAACTGATGACTCAGAAAGATAATAGTTAATATTATAACAGGAATATTTAAAGGCTCTTCCAACACCTTTCTCTGTGAAAGCCCCACCGCTGTTAGTGCCGCCCCAGGTCCTTCTTAGGTTACAAGTGAGTCCAGCACAGGAGGTGGCCGCGTGGCTGTCACAGTTCCAATCCGATTGGGCACCATGATTCTGCTCCTACCAGACTATCTAATTTACTTTGAAAACATTTTTATTATGTGAAAAGAAAGGTATTTAAATAGCTAGCACTGGTTTGGCAAAGGGCCCACCACTGTGAGCTGTGCAAAGCATGACCTCCCTCTTTCCCGGAGCGTCTGTGTCATGGCCTCTTCTCTCGGCCAGGCCAGAGCGACCAGGGCAGGGTGACCAGGGCAGGGGGAGCTTCCAGACCTGCCGGCGCTTCTGCCGCGCCAGCCCTGGGTCATCCAGACACCCGTGGTTCTCCAGAGCAGTGGTGACTGCGCAGTGTCTCTGATAAACTTGTCTCGGAGGAGGGTTCCCACTGTTAGGTCTGCTGCCTTTGATCCACTCCAGATAAGTTTGGAGGCCGGAACCTATGTACTCTTTGATTTCGAACAAATTTATTGTCCCATAAAGCGGGTTTGAAGAACGACGTACTCCTTTATTCAGCTGTGACGTATGTTGCAGGACGATTCAGTAAACACTCGTCTACGTGGAAGCGACACCCCCAGGCTGTCCTTCCCCCGTGTCCTCCTGTAGACGCTGGGCCCCGCCCCCCTGCCTGAGCCACTGCCCCCCGGGACCTGCTGCACGTGGTGGGGCTGCTGCCCTTCGTTCCCGTGTGCTTCCCACGCGTGGTTATTTTGCTTTGACAACTAAACCCATTCGAGGCTCCACTGTGTCACCTCGAGAGTCTTGAGCTAGAATTCTCCCTCTCCTGTTCTTTGCAGCCCAGAGGTGTGCTTTTTAATCTTTAAATTTGGCATTAATAGTAAAGTCACCCGCCCAGTTTTCATAGTTAAAGTGCTGCGCCTGTGAGCTAATTGGCTCCCACGGCCAGGACCACAGTTGGTGTCCCCTGAGAAAGGGTGGCGGCGCTTCACTCCAGCTGGTGTCCCTGTGACCGCAGCACAGCCGCCACTGTCTGAGGCTGCAGACTTGGTCACTGGCCCCACCCCCTGGCGGCGGCCACAGGCGCCTCGGCCTTGGCACTGGGCGCAGCTGCATTTGCTTTTGGAATGAATACACCAAATAGAAAGTGGGATTTGTTAAATAACGGGTTTTAAATAACCACCGATTCCGGCCACAAATGAGCACAGCTAGATGATTTGGGACATTTTGCAAGATGAGGCGGGTCAGTTAAGAAACATCGTCCCATTGTCCACAGACTTTATTCTACAAAGGAGAACTTACTTTAAAAGGCAAAGAATGCTTTGAACATTCATTTCTCCAAGTAGAAAAGGAAAAGATGCATCGTCCTCAGCTTACAAATGTACTAATAGAATTAATTTTCATCCATAAAGTTGGATTTCCATAGTGACATTGACCGTAAATGACAATGTATTTAAAAAAGAATGACTAAACCATCGCGATCACAGACGGGTGTTGGGACTTCACACGGGTGCAGCGGAGCTTCTGAGTGCAGGCTTCTCCGGCGCGCTAGCACCTGGCGGGGCCGGGCGTGCAGGAGGGCACCGCCGCGTCTGTGCACACCCGGCCCCCAGAGCCGTGCTCGCGTGAGCCGAGTGAGCTCTGTTTACTGAGTGGATTTACAGGTGGGGACTTTGTCCAGCGTGAGACTCAGCTCACTTCCCTGACTTGGTGCACCAGAGCGAGAGGCCCCCTTTACTTTCTGAGTCCGTGTGCTCGCCCCCAAGTCAGGAATCACTGAGACCGAAAGCAGGCCCAGGGAGTATGACAAGTGTAATACATACATTACTTCAGAAGTGTTTTCTAGATTATTCAGTGCTCTCTTCGTTTTCCAGGTAAAAACCAATGGTGTCTCCACAGTCAGAACGGACTTGGCATTCAAGAGTGACCCGTTTGAAGACCTGTCCTTGAGTCTGCTCGCAGTCCCAAAGGCTCAGTCCCCCGTGCACACATCCCCCGTCCCCGGCCCAGGCACCCAGGGCTGGGCTCCGCTGCCTCCTGCAACACAGAGCGGCCCCAGTTCCTGGAGCTCCGTGGGCCTCACGCCCACGCTGCCCCCTGTTCCAGCCCGGAGTCAGCCCCAGGAAAACGCACGGCACTCTCCCAACCCATTCACCGCGAGCATGGCCAGCGCCAACCCTTTCACCGACAGGACCGCGGCCCCCGGGAACCCGTTCAGGGCCCAGTCTCAACAGGCAGGCACGAGTCCGTGGTTCTCCCAGGAGGAGCCTGCCGCCGGCCGACCCTTCCCTCCTCCGAAGCCTTCGTCTTCACCCGTTGGCTTCGAGGACGGTTCTGATGTGCAGGCCCAGTCTGCAGGAAAGACGAGCCACCCAAAAGGATGGGTGACCTTCGAGGAAGAGGACTTTGCTGTGAAAGCAAAGTCAAGGTCGCCTTGCCCGGACCTCCGGGGCAGTCAGCCGGGTTCCTCCCCCGGCTCCAGTGCGACCTTTGACGATGACTGGAGTAAAGGCACAAGTGTGTCCTCCTGTGCGGTGCCGTCCCGGAGGCCGCCCCCACCTCCTGTCCCCGTGCCCCCAGCGGGCCCCACCCCTCCAGAGCCCCCCCCAACAGCTCGGGCCCCTCAGGCAGCACCCACACTGGATTTCACGGAGAGATGAGCCTCTCCGTGGAGAGCGGCCATGCTGGCCTTGGTGGGCGAGCCGGCGGCAGGCGTTCATCACCCGTCGTGTGCACCGAGGTCGTTGGGAAACACCACCGTTCAGCGTGGGCAGAGTGGGGATGTGTGTGGGGTGGGGGGGCACGAGGGAAAGGTCCTCCTCCTTCACTAGCATTTCGTGCATTGCTGTTTGGATAGCTAGGGGAGAGGAGTGGCCGTAACAAGTGCTCAAAACCACTTTAGAAAACAGTCCTTCTTCAGAAACGCTGTGTTAATCTTTGTGAGAGAACCTCAAAAAACCCAGGCAGCTTCCCGCTGGCCCTGCTTGCCTGCGCTGCCCGCCCCCCCCGCCCCCCAGTCCTCGTTCACAACTGGCGTTTCTAAGGGTTTACCAAAGAGCTTGTCACAGTGACACTGAAACAAGTTTCAAAGGCAGAGCTTAAAAAAAAAGTGTATAGACACACACACATTCCCCGCACACATATACATGTGAAACTCTTCGTTTAAATTCTCGGATATAACTCAGATTTTTACCTAAAAGTTCTAGCAGAGTTCTCTCTTCACATCATTGTCAAAAGGATGGGTGTGAATGAAACTTGGACATTTCTTCACTTTTCTGTCCAAAACTATAATAATCCTCACTCCAGACCCAGAATCTTCTCCCCTTACCCTCACACGTGTGCACACACGCACACACAGACACATCCTTGTCACTCTCCACTCCAGCAGCCCATGTGCTTCCCTCCAGGAGTCGCCACTGCCCTGTGGGCGGACACACCTGCCCTTTCAAAAGAGCACGGTGGCCTTTTGTGCTCGGTGAGAAACACTAGCGCTGAGCGTGCCCCTCTGTCCTCTGCCGCCCACCCCTCCCACACCCGTCAGTCTGCTCCGGCCCCTCACTTCCTGAACAGGGACAGGGAAGGCAGCAGCCCCAGGTGTGCTCTGCACGGGGTCTACTCAGCGGATGCTGTGTCCCCTGAAGAGTTCGCAGAGCGCACCTGCGACGCTGCTCCAGGTTCTTCGAGGCCGCCCGCCAGGTACCCGTCCGCTCTGTCCCCTGCACTGCCGACAGACAGCCTGTCCCACTCTTGTTAGGGTCATGAGGAAGTACAGAGCTTCTACAGAAGGCTGCATTTCGACCTGGGTGGCCCTGACCCGGGGACTCCTTGAGCAGTTGTTTCGCTGTGAGTTTAAGCTGCAGCCATCTTTGGCCATTGAGTCTGCACTGAGGTTCCTTTTCAGTAGCGCTGTGTCTGCCCACCGGAATTCAGTGTCTGCATTTGACCTTCAGAGGGGCGCACTGGGGGGACAGCTGAAACCAGAGGTTCATGGGTGAGACTATGTCCAATGGAAAAAGCACAGTGAACTGCATTGCACTTAACCACATAAAGCAAGTCTGTTAGCAAGACATACTTTTCTAAATGCTTAAATATTACCAAAATACTCTATTTATAGAAGTAGTCCTCTCTCTGTTAACAGCCAGGATTTGCTGTTAGAAGTAACTCTTGTGAGTTTTATATTGTGCTTTCTGGGTTTCTAATCATTTCAGCAGTGGTACACTTTGAACAGCAGTATTACTGTCAGCGCTGTGCTTCAAAATGTGAATTAACTGGTTGGAACTGTGGCTTTAACATCGCTGTGGTTGGTGTGTCTGGTGTCTGCTCTCCATTGGCAAAATAATTCACTCCAAACGTCACTAGTGCAATTGCAGTTCTGTGAGCACTGTTTGCTGCTGCAGACAAACTACTGTCTAAATACACACGCCAGGCAGCAGCTCCGCCTTTACCGGGAACACGGTATCTGGCAAGTTGCCCAGTGTGCACAAAGCTATGAAAGATAAAGGTGCGCTGCCAATAACTAGCCATCGTTCTGTATCATTGAGATATTTACCAGTTCTATTAAAAGCAGAGCAAAAATTAGACACTAAGGATCTCTTTGTGAATTATTTGTTCTCTACAGTAGATTGCTGTTTTTATGTAAGAACTTTATTGCTTATGTGGCATACAGTATTTATAACTACATACTTTATAGAAGTGTATATTAAAGTCACAGTATACAAACACTCTGTACATACCCTGTGAAATGTGCTGTCATATGAAATAAATAGTTCTGGCTTTACCATACTGACTGTTTTGCTCAAAAGGGAAGAATCTCAGCCACCTTCCTTGAACTTTACATATACAAGTTAGTGACATTTGGAGATTAACTCATTGTTGAATTAGGTATTTTAACTCAAGATCTTATTTTCACTCATTTTACTTCACCACATAATAATACTCTAAAAGAAAAAAGTATTAAAATTAGTGATCATTAAGAGGCCCTCATTCAAAGTGTGGCTTGGCTTGAAAATCACACACAAAGAGTCATTTTCTAGTGACATCAGAGAGACACGGATGGGGTGGCACAGAGGGGAGCAGGCACACAGACGACCAGACGAAAGAAAAGGCTGGCAGAAAGGACCCAAGGTCAGAGGCCACGGCCAGTGGTTTCTATGAGGTCTGACTTTTTTCCAGCCTTATGTGATAACAACCTTGGTTCATAAATTGAATTATATTCTTTAACCTCTGATGGAGAAGCTACAGGTACAGAATAGTAGGCTTTAATATATGAAATTTTAAGGTAATTATAGATTTATGTGCAGTTCTAAGAAATCAATAGCATGTGCCCTTTACCCAATTGCCCCTCGGGGTTGCAGTTTGCAGAACGAATGCAGTGCCACAACCAGGGTGTCAACATGATGCAGAACATTGCCACCCTGCAAGGTCCTCCCTCTGTTCCCTTTTCCCACCACCCTGTCATCCGATCCCCCTTTTCACTTCTCCTTAACTTCTGGTGACCATTGGCCTATGCTCCATTTCTATGATTTTGCCATTTTAACAAAGTTACAGAAATGGAACCATATGGTATATAACCTTTTGGAGATGGCTTTGTTTTTTATAGCATATTCAAATACTCAGACTGTGCATCCAGTTCGTTTCTTTTTCTTGCTAAGTAGTATTCGTGGTATGGATGTACCACTGCTGGTTTAACTGGCACCCTGTCACTCCGCCCCCCCCCTCCGTCAGTGGACAGCTGGGCTTTTCCCAGTTTCAAGGGAAACATGTGCTAATGTGAACAGCAGCAGCACGTTCCTGCCTCCAAGTAACCCTGCCCTGGCCTTCCTGGAGGGCTTGGACTGGCCTGGGGCACTCCTGGGCTTATGGTCACCCCACCCCACTCAGCCCCGGGAACCAACCCCAGGAATAAGAACACAGCGTAGCTGTTGCCTGTAATATTCAAATCAGTTCAGGGGCGAAGGCCTTTTGAAGGAGATAACCGGAGTGGAGCCTCAGTGTCAAGGACTCTGCAAACGTCACCAACCCTTAAGGTGTCCCTTAATGGCCCAGTCTAAAAAGCCAGCTCCCTGTTTTCTTTGCACCTCTTATTTGAATTCACTTTGTCCATTTATTTTTGTGTTGTCTTTGTCATTTATGGGACAAGCTCCATGACAGCAGTGACCCAGGATCTGCCTGGGGTCTGAGACAATCGCTGTTCAGACTTTGTTGGCTGGTGGCCGACTGGACAGTTTGGGGAGGGGCGCTCGGCAGCAGCCGCATGAGCTCCCGAGACGTGCGGTGCAGACACGTCCCCTGTCCCAGCTGCGGAAAACCAGCGCGGCCCGACTCGGGACTACGGCGACCAGAGCGGGCCTCGGGCCTTGGTCCTCGGAAAGGTCCACACCGGAAGCCGGGGTTTCCAGAGGTAGGGTTTGTTGTTGGAGGAAAGTCCTGGAGACCGAGGGGCGGGGCCCGCTCCCCGGCGTGCTCAGCGCCCCGCCCACTCCCGGCCTGCCCTTGCTTCGGGAGCCTGTTTTCCAGGTGGAGGTCCAGCCCTGGCGTGGGGATTGGACGGTCCGCACTGCCCCCTGGTGGCCTGGTAGGTTGGGAGGGTTGCTAGGACAACAGCTACTTCCGGGGGCGGGGCGAACCTCCGGCAAGTGTGCGGGTCGTGGCGGGCACCTGTTCCGGAGTGGATTGCCGACTCTCCGCGCTCGCAGCTTAACCACCCCAGGATTTGGACCTTGAGTAGGTGGCTCCCAGACTCCGTTTTCTCTGTTGCTCCTGGCAACAGCCACTTCCGGGGCAGGCCACCGGGTGCCTGTCGGACCAGCAGCGCCTTTAGAGTGTGCGGGCCGTTGCTGGGCGGCGACTGCTCCGGGAGTGGATTGCCGGCTCTCCGCGCTCGCAGCTTTCCCACCCCAGGATTTGGACCTTGAGCGGGTGGCCGTGCCCCCGGACTGTTGTCTTTGTGTTGCTCCTGGCAACAGCTACTTCCGGGGGCGCGTGCCGTACCCCCCACACCGGAACCCGGGAGTCTTGGGTTCCGGCTTGGAGAGGCGGTTAGTTGGTGGGTCCCGCTGTGCCCTCGAGCCACCTGGGGCCGCGCACCTGGACCTCCTCGCCGCCTCGGCGAGGCCGGCGGAGCCGCTATGGTTCTGCTGCACGTGAAGCGGGGCGACGAGAGCCAGTTCCTGCTGCAGGCCTCGGGGAGCACGGAGCTGGAGGAGCTCACGGTGCAGGTGACCCGGGTCTACAACGGGAGGCTCAAGGTGCAGCGCATCTGCTCAGGTGGGTCGGCGGCGCGGAAGTCTGTGGGCAGGCGGCGGGTCCGGGGCCGTCGGGACGGAAGAGGTTGCGCGGACCCACACGTCTGTTTCGGGCAGGCTGCGGGCGAGGGTCCGCGGCTTGAAACGGAACACGAAAGACCACCAGCGATGCCCAGCGAGTCAGGGGGCTGCATGGAGGCACGCCGTGTGTCTCGGAGCCAGGGTTGGGGCTCTGGGAGGACGCACTGGAGCGGACGGGTGGAGAGGGCAGAGCCCCAGGAGGGACCCCAGAGACCGGGCTGAGTGAGGAGCAGGTGTGAGACTGGAAACAGCGGTGGGCGCTTGAAAAGGGTGAATTCAGGGTTTTGAGACCCCCCCTGAACTGGAGCAGTTTCCGGTGTGAACTCTCCTCCAGGGTGAGAAGTCAGGGCGAGCCCTACTGTATCTGTCCCCTTCTCAAGACACGGTTTGCCCCCCTCCCCACCATGGAGTCGCCCCTGCTCCACACTCAGCACTGCCTGAGGCAGTCCCAGCAGGTGTCCACCAGCCACAGTGGCCGCCCAGCCCTGGACATGCAGCTAGTGCAACCCAGGAGCGGGTTTAATTTCTTATTTCTTCTAACTGCATCTAAATAGTCAAGCGCACCTAGTAGCTACCTCCGTAGACGGCACAGAGCTTGATGTGATGCTACTCCAGGTGTGGCCCAGCATGCCGAGTGTTTTCATAACCAGAGGGTGCGATTTCGGGCCACAGAGAATTTGGCAGGAGTCCTGTGGCTTCTGCCCTTACAATTGTATGTAGATTTTATTTATAAAGTGTCCTGATTCCAAAACAAGCTCAGTGGTCAGCGTTACTTTAAAATGAAATGGGAGATGAAGGAGGAAAGGGACTCAGCTTATATTTATAAAACTATCCATCGAAAATGGGGTGCTGAATGTTAACTCATGTTAGTGCACTTGGAACCCCCACATTTATTCTACAGCCCCCATTGTCTGCTGGGACTCAGGCCCCGAGGCTGTGCTGGAGAAAACCAGTGTGAGGGAGGCCACCGCTGGGCCCCAGGGGCTCAGAGTCTGGTGGGGTGAGATGGTGAACACCCCTTTTGGGGCCCCGCTTGTTCTCCAGTATGGTGCTCAGAGACCACGCGCACTCTTCCCAGTGTTACGGGAGACCCCGTTCCCTGTCAGCCTTTCCAGTGAGGAGGACAGGGAGGGAGGAAGGAAACAAACTGTAAGGCTGAAATGTGGACGGATTTGGGGGTGGGCAATATGATGCAGGAAAAGACAGAGCTGTCCTTTGAGTGGTGAACATGAGTTCGGAAAACCAAGGCCTTGCCCTGTCTCTACCTTTGCTGAGGGATGTGAGCTGCCATAGGCCCTTCCCACAGGTTGGCTTGTCGTGGAGTTGTTCACGAAGTACTTACCTGAAGTTTTGTGTCAGGTGGTCCTGACCTGAGCCTGCTTCAGGTGCCACAGCTGTAGGTAGGGAAGATGGGTGTGTGGACAGTCCTGCCGGCCTCAGGAGGTCGAATGGACTGAGATGACCTCTGTGTCCACCCTTGGGAAGCCGGCAGTGCTCTGGGGAGGTGCGTGCAGACCGTGGATGAGTTTTAATCCGCCTCCAAATGCCAGAAGGCGTAGCAAGAGTGAGCAAGAGAGCTCAGGGTCTGCAGCCTGGCGCTGGTGGCCGTGGGTGAGCTCCTGGGGTCTCTGTGCTTCCATCATCCTGGGGCAGAGGAGGCGCAGGGTGGTCTGGCACACATCTGGGGGAACTGAGAGTTTGTACAATAAGATCCTGAGCGGCGGGCACGCCCCTGACCTCTGAGGAGTGCGCCTTCTAGCAGGGTATGACGCAGTGACTGGTGCATGCTGTCTGTCTCTTATTTTTAAGAAATGGAAGAATTAGCAGAGCATGGCGTGTTTCTCCCTCCTAACATGCAAGGGCTGACGGATGACCAGATCGAAGAGCTGAAGTTGAGGGACGAGTGGGGTGAAAAGTGCGTGCCCAGTGGCGGAGCCGTGTTTAAGAAGGACGACATCGGACGCAGGAATGGGCACGGTAATCCACGTCCCGCCGACCAGCCTGCGGGGTCCCGCTGCCCGAGGGCCTGGGGACCCTTCTGTGGGTTGAACACTAACCTCAGTTCTTCCAGGCAGAGGCGGGGCGCTGCGCCCAGCTGCTCCTTGTGATAAAATGCCCATCCAGGGCGAAGTCAGAGGATGAGGAGAGTCTGTCTCTTCGCTCCCGGTGGCAGCCAGACCTAAATATTTCAGAAGAGCCACATGAGACTGCCATTTTTGTGGGCCACAAATGTTGAAAATTGGCAACATCATGTGGTGCGACCTAATAGTTTTGCGGGGATAATCCCTGAAAGTGTACTGAAGGCTGTGTCGTGTTAGGGTGTGCAGGGACGGGGGTTACAGACTCTGTGTGACAGGAGGAAGTGGGTGTTGGCCCAGGGTGTCCACCGGAGCAGAGGACGCGCCCCTCTTTGGTGCAGAGCCCCCCCGTGCACGTCAGCACTGGGACACAACCTGCCCCTTAGGGTCTGATTGGTCCATGACTCTGAAGGGGACAAGGGTGGTGGATCGTTGGGATGGCCGTCCCGTTCAACCTGCATAGAAAGCTCCGTCTCAGGGACTGTGATCGATCATTCAGCAAACACCTAAGGACCTACTGTGTGCCTCCAAAACACTGTCAGGAGCAAGAGAGACGCAGCAGCCCCCCTGCATGGCCCTGGTGTGTGGCCGTGTGAGTGTTTCTGGCTCCGCTGACTTGGTGCCCAGGAAGTGCCGGGCGCTGCTCCTGCTCGTTCTCAGTTTGGAGAGAGCCCACGTTTTAGAAGGAATTGCACCAATGAAAAGAAACTCTTATAAGTTAGGGTTTTATATTTCTAGTAGTTTCACTGTCTGATTAATACTGTTCTTAAGAATGTTAGGTTTGCACTCACCCCATCTCCCTAGATCTGGTCCCTTCCACACTTTCAAGTTCTGATTTTTTTCCTTGCTGGGGTAAGGGCACCCCTGGGCCATGGGACCAGTCCCGCCGGCACCTGTTTTGTGAATCAAGTTGTATCGGAGTGCGGCCACCCCGTCCATTCAGGCATTGTCGGTGGCTTTCCTGCCGCTGTGACGCTGAGCAGCTGCAGGGGACCCTGTGTCACCCGCCCGGCCTGGAACGCTCAGCCCCCAGCCCTTCCCAGGAGACGTGTGCCCCTCCCCCACCCCGCCATGTGCAGAGCCTTTCATCCTGTTCTCTGGACTTTGCCACTTCGCAGAAAGCGCACAACAGGCCTCTGCTCTCCAGGACCCTTTCACCCAGGCCCCTGGCGTCCCCACTGAGTTCCACACTGGGGTACACTGCACACGTCCCCGACGCAGACCGAAGGGCGTGGGGTGTTTGAGGGGAGCTTTATAGACGGCTCTGTCGCTCCCTCTTTCCTTTTTTGTTTCTATAGCTCCAAATGAAAAAATGAAGCAAGTTTTAAAGAAGACTATAGAAGAAGCCAAAGCAATAATATCTAAGGTTAGCTTTATAAATGATGCTCTACAGCGTGTCTTTGGAACTATGAACTCCAGCGCCAGCTTCCAGGGTTGCCTGCCGGCCACCCTCTCCTGGCGTCTGGTGCCGCCGTGCAGAGTTCAGTGAGCGGGCCGTTGGGTGGGCCTGGCTTTTCCTTTCATCATCGTGCCCTTCGTCCCACATCAGCTCAGCCCCACAGGCCGGGTGGACGGTGCTGGTGGCCTGGTGGAGGTGGCCCCCATGTCCCGACGGGGCCCAGGCCCTGAGCACTTGGGATTCTGTTTCCTGGGCCTTGGGGACCTTTTTGGAGAACTTAAGAAAGCGAAAGGCCCCAAGGCAGACTGTAGGCACTGGGGTGCGGGAGCTCGGTCCAGAGCTGTTGACCAGATGGGCTGCCGCGTGGGTAACCATGCGTGTGCACCGCAGAAACACGTGGAGGCCGGCGTCTGCGTCACCATGGAGATGGTGAAGGACGCCCTGGACCAGCTGCGCGGGGCAACCATGATTGTGTACCCCATGGGCCTGCCACCCTACGACCCCGTCCGGATGGAGCTGGAAGACAAAGAGGACCTGGCGGGCACTCAGGTCCGTGGCTCGTGGCTGCCTGTGAGGTGGGCTCGACTCCCCAAAGAGGAGAGGCCCCCCACATTGAGCCCCCCTCCTCTTCTGGGCGCAGATTTTGCTTCAGACACCACTTTCCTCTTCCCTGTGCTGAGCTTCAGATCTGAGCGGGGGAAGTGCGGGGGGGCCGAAACAGCAGGGAACCCACATGAGCCCGAGAGAAGGGGTGGAGGCTGCCCGTCAGAAGGAGCCGACAGACTGCCAACGGGGGGCCACCGGAAAGCCGGGGACCTGGTTTGAGCCTGTTTCTGCCCAGACGGACTGGCCCCCTTGCACGGAGCCTTGTGCTTCGTGTTGTCGGCTGCTGCCTGGGTGCCTGTCCTGTCCCATGGCACCTGTATCTTCGCTCTGTCTGCCCCAGACCCAGGGGCCTCCAGTGTCTCCCCAGCTGTGCCCTCACCTGCACCTCATGGGGGCCTTCTGCTGCGGGTGGGGGTCAGCGGGATCGGGCGCCCCACGTCCCAGGGCAGGCAGTTCCTAACGGGGAGGGGGGCTGGGATGAGTGAGGGTGCGGGGGAGGGTTGCAGGGCAGGGAGGGTGAGCGAGGTCCCACCGCCCTGGCTCCACCCTGGTGGGACCACACCCGTGTCCTGGGACCCGCAGGCAGCGCTGAGCGTCATCCCTGAATCGGAAGCGCAGCTGTGGTGGGCGGCCAAGGAGCTGCGGAGGACGAAGAAGCTGTCGGACTACGTGGGCAGAAACGAGAAAACCAAGATCATTGTCAAGATCCAGCAAGTGAGTGCTTCACCGTCCCCTTCACATGGGCGAACGTTTCGGTGAACCTGAGGTTTACACCCCCGTCCAAACGCTTGACTCTCACTGGTCTGGACTCGGAGTAAACCTCCCGCCCTGCGCCAGCCCAGACTGGAAGGAACAGGAGCAGTGACGACACGGGGGTCCGATGGGGGGGGGTGCCGTGTTTCTTTTCATAAAGAATAGACGTGTCTCACGGTGAAAACTCCAGTCCACGCTGCTGAGTTCAGGCCCCCCCAGGCTGCTAGTTGGTGGGCCGGCGGCTGCGGGGCCTGATGGGAGCCAAGTTTGCTCGGGTTGTGCGCTCTCCCAAACTGTCCCCTCTTATGCGGGGAGAAGGGTCCCCACAATGACCTTGCCCCTTCCCTGTTTGTGGGGGGCAGCCTCTGGTTTCTGGCCACCAGGAAGGAGGGCCAGAGCAGGGGCTGCCGAGGACCGGGGCCCCCGGTGGCCCACTCGGTCGTCAGAAGTGGGCAATCTGTTACCCACAGCAGTTGGCAAGGGTGGTGCTGTAACACCGTCACTGCCGCTCGCGCAGCTGTCGCAAGAAGAATGCGGGTCCACAGTGTGCCCTCCCTGTCTTTACAGAGGGGACAGGGGGCGCCGGCCCGGGAGCCCGTTATCAGCAGCGAGGAGCAGAAGCAGCTGATGCTGTATTACCACAGGCGGCAGGAGGAGCTCAAGGTACTGGGGCCACGCACTGTCCATGGAGCCGGCGCCCGGCATTCACCCCACGCCTCACCCCAGGGTCCCCAGGGCGGTGCTGTGGGATCGGGGGGCCTTCTAGGGCATCAGAGCCCGGGAGGCTCCTGGTTCTGGGGGGCCGGGGGTCACGGGCTCCTTCTTCAGCCCCTGTATGTCGCACAGCAGTTCCCCGAAACGCCTTCCTGAGTAAAATGTGTCCTTGCAGAGGCTGGAGGAAGACGATGACGACGCCTGTTTGAACTCCCCGTGGGCGGACAGCAGCGCACTGAAGAGACACTTCCACGGCGTGAAGGACATCAAGTGGAGGCCGCGGTGAGCGTGCAGCGCGCCGGCGGGCACGGCTGCCAACCAAGGATGCGGGCCCGGCGCTCTGGGCGAGGAGCGGCAGCAATGGCGACCGGAGCGAGAAGGGCCCACACAGCCCTCCGTGAACGATGGTGGCATCCTCAGTTTTCCTGCTGTTGAGTTTGAACTTTTACAATAAAGTTACATAGGGTGCAAGAAATACTTGTTCAAAAAGATCCACCTACGTTTTTATTTCAGGACCGTGTGTATCGGAGGCCCTTCTTCCACCAAACGCTAAGGATGTTCTTACTTTCGAGTTCATTGTCCTTCCTGCTCCCTGCCCTGCCCTCTCGTGGCTGCTGGGGAAACTGGAGGCGTTTCCAGTGTCCGGCACCTGGTGTGAAACCGCCAGTGGCCACTGGAGGTCGCCTGCCCTTTGCCCTGGGTTCCCGGCTGCAGGGGCGAAGCTCACCTGCCAGCTGGTGCCTGGCTGGCCCTGTCCTCCAGTAGAGGCTCCACCTGCGTGCAGGTCTCCCCTGGACCCGTCAAGTTCATGGGGGGGGGGTCTGGGCTTCCCCCAGAAGCCCCGGGGGCGCAGCCTGAGCGCTCGGGGCCAGACTCCCACGGAGGCTGGTGCCCATCCACCAGGGCCTGCTTTCCCGTGCCACCTGTGGATTTAAATCCCCAGCCACCCTCCCCCACACCCAGCAGCTCCAGTCCGGCCCTGACTGCAGCCAGCAGTGGCCTGTGGGCCGTGGTCCCCGTTGGAGAGAACAGCGCAACTCTGAGAGGTGTAGTGGCGGGACTGTCCCCATGCTGGCCTGCACCCCCACTCCTGTCCCCAAGCCTTTCCAACAGTCACGGACATGCTGCTGTGTGGCCCGTGGTGGCCATGTGGGTGCGTTTTCACCTGCTGACTGGTGGCCTTTCCCTGGGGGGCGGGGGCAGGACTACTGCTGGGACCCCATCAGAGCCAAAAGAAGGAGAAGCTGGTGCTGTCGGGCAGCGGGGAGGGGAGGCCCCTCGGTGCCCCTGCTCGCCCAGAGTCCGTCCTTTGCTCTGTGGGAGCTTCCGCCCGCCCCTAACCTGGTGGCCACTCACCCACTCCTGCTAGTGGACCGAGTGACATCAGGGAGCTCACACCTGTCGGGCCCACCCAAGAACACCCACAGTGCGTGGGGGCAGCTGCTGACAACGAGCATCTTGGGGCCCACAGAGCTAGACTGGGGCCCATAGCTGCTTTGGTCCACCAGCGCCTGTGAGGGGCGAGGACATGGAGCCCGCCCTTGGGCTGCCTTAACAAGTGGACACTTGGCTCAACCCTGGGAGCCAATGTCCCGAGTGATGAAAGAGAGTCTGGGGGCATGTCCTGGCCATAGGGGAGGCCCACCAGCACACGCAGGCCGCAGGTAGGATTGCAGTACGTGGACAGACCATTGCCTGCAGCTAAGCCCCGGTCTCTCGTTACTTGGCACGGATTCCGTCCTACACCATAGACCAAACCGGCAGTGGCCTTGGCTGTGGCTCCGTTGTAGCAATGAGGCTGTGTGAGCCAGCCGCCACCAAGGCGCTGACTGCGGAGCCCCAACCCTCCTCCTCCTCCGGTCCCCTGGTCCCACAGCAGTGGCCACAGGCCTGCAGCTGGTCGCTGCCGCCTTGACTGTCCCAAGTGCACCTGGCATGTCCACCCACGTCCTGCCCACGTTTCCTGGTTGTTTCTTGGTGCTGCGAGAGAGGCCACTGTGCCCTGGGTCCGCCGGGCCAGGCCAGGCCTGCAGATGCCTGGGCGGCCCGAGCCCTCATTTGGCCCCTTCATAGTCAGCGTGTGGAACAAGACGGGGGCCTGAGTGTGTGGCGTGACCATGGTGTGGTAACATCCACGGCCCCTCTTTCCCCCTCCCCACCCTGGACAGGTAGGCAGACATAGCAGCAGCATTATCCGGGGACCCCTGTCCAGCCTCGTCACTAAGCAGACTCAGAGCCACTGTGTCTCACTCGGTAGGTGAGCAAAGCACACAGCGCACCTGGCGCTCCTGCTGCTGGGTTTCTGCCTTAGCACAAGGTCACCTATGGTTGTGACAGAGCAGAGACAGAAACAAGGGCACCAGTGGCAAATCACAGCCCATAAACTGAGCTGCTCTGGGTTTAACTCAGAGACCTGCTCTCTGCTCACCCGCGCTCAGCTCACCTGCCCTCAGCTCACCTGCACTCAGCTCACTGCCCTCAGCTCACCTGCACTCAGCTCACCTGCCCTCAGCTCACTGCCCTCAGCTCACCTGCACTCAGCTCACCTGCCCTCAGCTCACTGCCCTCAGCTCACCTGCCCTCAGCTCACCTGCACTCAGCTCACCTGCCCTCAGCTCACCTGCACTCAGCTCACCTGCCCTCAGCTCACTGCCCTCAGCTCACTGCCCTCAGCTCACCTGCACTCAGCTCACCTGCCCTCAGCTCACCTGCACTCAGCTCACCTGCCCTCAGCTCACTGCACTCAGCTCACCTGCCCTCAGCTCACCTGCCCTCAGCTCACCTGCACTCAGCTCACTGCCCTCAGCTCACCTGCACTCATCTCACCTGCCCTCAGTTCACTGCACTCAGCTCACTGCCCTCAGCTCACTGCCCTCAGCTCACCAGGACAGATGTCCACCTTTTCAGCCAGTTGTTTCCAGGCCTGGAAGCTCCTGGCACTTTGAGGGAATTTACAGGGAACTGGTAAGTTTCCTATGGCATCGCTCTTGACTTTTCCTCCGGCAGCGAATGTGATCGAAGCCACTGAGATACACAATCTCGTCGTTCCTGCCGCGGGGCCGCACACACCGTTGGTGAGCGTGTGTAGGAATGGACGTCACAGGAGTACCTCTAGTGAGCGTGCTTCCGTCCGCAGTCTGAGCGATGCGGCCTCTCAGACACCAAAGGAAGGTGTGCCCTGCGAGCGGCCTCGGGTGGGGCACCCGTCTGCCCGTACGCTCGGAGGGGACGCCTCTGCCCTGGAGACAGACACACAGGGGCACCTGGACCCGCTCCCCGCAGAGCCGCCACCCCATCCAGTTGCGCTGGCCCGAGGCTGGGGTGCGCTGACCGGTGACCAGCAGACTCGCCTCTGGGCCGTGGGTCAGAGCCCATATTTGGGGAACTGAGAGATTCTAAGTTTAGAATCGAGAACGGCCCCCAGCCTGGGAACCCAGAGGCGTTCTGGGCTGTGTCGGGGACAGGAAGTCTGCACAAAGCTGTGGGAAACGGAGCGCTTCCTTGGGTGCAGCGCAGCCGGTCACACATCAGTCACTGGATCTCGTCATCGTGAGAAAGTGCCTGTAGCTGGAGAGGAGGAAGAAGGGGCAATGGGGGGCAGGGGGCGGTGAGGGCAGCAGCAGGCTGGGACAGGGCTCTTGTTCCCGGGCCGGTTCCCTCCCACGCCCGCCCTCGGAACCTTGCCCTGGGCCCTTTGAAGCCCCCTGGGGTCCTCGTGCCATTTTTTTGATGCCCCTTCACTGTCCCCAATGTTGGGACCCCCTTAGAGACCTCAGGCACCAGGAAGCCACCCCGTGAGCCTGCCACCCCCTCTTCATTAGGAGATCCACCTGGCAGAGCCCCGGCCAGCATGGCAGAGAGAACCCCACCCACCATGGTGGTCACGGGGAGGGAACCCCGAAACCCCCAGTCTCTGGACCCCCGTCCACACCACCCTGGGGGCCTGCCCTCTCCAGCTCCCCATCCCCTGCTGCTCCCGAACGCACTGGGGGGACCGAAGCCCCATCACGGAGACAGTCCCCATCCTCCTCACTCACCGCCCCCACCCCCAGCGTCTGTCCCCATTTTAGCGGACAAGCATCCAGACTCCAGCAAAGGCCACCTCGGGTCTCGTTCCTGCGGTTCTGTCCTCTACAAAGACACGGTTCTGGGGGTTCTCCCTCCCTCATCACTTTCCTACAGCGTCACCCCAATAATCTGCAGACACGCGGTGAGGATAGCTGCCTCGCGACGAATTCTCTCTGCTCACGTGGCGAACCTGGTTGTCAGAGGGTGTCTTCCATGTCTGTGCTGCGATCGAGTTTTAAAGTAACAGGTCGTGTTTAAAGAATTCCCCGGTCAGGCAGTCACGGGGGTTGGACGGGACATGGAGCAAAGGGGACCCCCATTCATTGTGGGGGGGATGCAGACTGGCACCGCTGCTGCAGGAAACAGAGTGGGGCGTCCTCCGAAAAGGCAGATGGGGGCTGCCACATGGCCCAGCACCCCTTCTTCTGGGTGTCTGCCTGAAATTTCAAACACATGTATTTGCAAAGATACATGAGGGGGAACCCGAACACCCCAGAATTATTTTCTGGAGGGTGGGCCCCTTGTAGAGCAGGCTTCCCCCACTGGTGAGTGTTCTAGGAACCTACCTGTATCCGTGCACCAACTGGCGTTGTTGTGAGAGGCTGAGTTCGGCTTCAGGGAGTTTTTTTCTAAGACTCTTTCAATAGGTTTGCCCATTTCATGATGGGTGACTTATGAGCACACCTGCCCACACAACACTGAGTGTTCAGCAGTTTTTGACCAAAAACAGCATGATTCCCATGCCCCATCCTCTCTATTCACCCGATCTTTCCCCAAGAGAGTTTTTTTATGTTCGCTCCCTACGCCCCTGTCCCCTGCATCTCCACAGACACTTGCAACTGCACCCAGACCTTCTCACTCAGGGGTCCTGGTGTGACCACGTCTCCCCTTATAAAGTGACACTTCCCGGCTCCAGGAATCAGGACCCGATACCTTCGGGGCCACCATTCAGTCTGCGACACTGTGGTAGCACACGGTCGGAAACCTCTGGACCGCCCGTGAGGAAGGGCCGCAGGAACGCGTCACTGCACGGACGCACTGTGGCCCCAGGGGGGCCGAGACCACGCAGCCACTTGTTCAGAGAGAGAAATAGAGACACGTGGGCACGTACGTGCCAGGGCCTGGGAGCAGGGACCACGTGGATGGACGGGCAGGGTGCAGCCCCCTGCGCCCTCTGCACCATGTGAGATTCCCAGGGGCCCTGACACCTGGCCCGGGCGAGCGCTGAGCACCACTGGCCGC